AGTCGCTGCTGAAATGTTGCTACATATATAGAAATGGAACGTCCACAATTTGGAAGCTGAAATCAACTCTTTTGTCGTAAAGTTTTGTTTTCAACCGATTGTCAATTTCTAGATGTGAGTCAAGATATGAAGCAGACATAACTATATCTGTGGCATCCTTTATCTCAAATTCGATTGGATACATGCGTTCAACATAGTCACCAAATTTTGAAATAAAGTTAAAGGATACTGCTAACTTCTTTTCTTTCTTCTTTGGAAGTTCCTGTATGAAGTCAGCCTCATATGAATAAAGAAACAAGTCGGTAAGAAGAGGTACACAGTTGATTCCCATGGGAATGCCGATTGTTTGTTGAAAAACACGTCCTCCAAACGTAACAAATATGTTGTAAATCAAGAAATCAAGCATCTTGATAATATCAGTTTCAGAGAATTTTTTGTTTGAATCAGAGTGATTTTTTAAAAAGTAGGATTTATCCCTCCCTAAGACAAGATACTTGTATCTACGTTGGCCACTCTTTATTATGAAACAAAGCAGGACTCTTTCAATTTGTCTTTAGTTTTGAATGTGGAATACTTGTGTAAAGTGTAGAAAAGTCAAATGTTTTAATACTATTGCAAAATGTATTTACTCTAAAAGATCTTTGGATTTTTTTAGTATCCATATCTGATTCTCGCCACTTCCAGAACATGTAGTTTCACTTTTAGGTTGATTGCTGATAAAATTGATGTAAATAATTTAGAACGAGGTTTCGTGGAGCACTTGGAAGACCCAGCAACATACCGTTGTATGTAAGGACTCGTATGTAGTTTAAGTATCCAATACATTGATGGAAGATCCAGTTCTTCATCTTTTGTTTAAAAGAAGGAACATAGAAAAGACCTATGATTCTCCAGAATTTCCTCTTTAGTAAGTGTCGTTGGGTATATGATGAGTTTCCAAGTGAATTGTCAATACCTAATATAGGTAATAGAAATGTGTTGCCTAAGTGTTGCAACCTTAGGCTAAATATAATTAATTAAGTGTTTTGTAAACAAATATTTTACAGTCACAATACTTCTTATATAAAAACAATATATAAACTCAATAAAAAAACATTTTCGTTATATTATAGAAACACAAGGTATCAATAAGTAAAATAACAAAAATACCGAACTCTGAGGAAAATTCAAAACATCCAGTGTAGTCAAATGGCAAAATCAAAAGCCCAAACACATTAAACGAATGGATAACAACTGTCATATTCTTGACTTAGTAAAGACATTGTTTTATGTAGAAAATGGTGGATTGAACCTAAATTGTTCGACGAAGGAATTGTTCATAAGATTGACAAAAATTCTGCCTGCAGTGAAAGAGGGTCTTTAGAAATGCTGTGAAGCTTTTAACTTGCGTAATGGTATTAACCATATGTGGATTCTAAAAACTTTACAGAAAATCTGGATAATTCTAAATCTCGATCTTTCCTGAAATTAGTTCTATCAAAACTTCTAATTTTTCAACCCTGTATACCAGCATTCCCCATGAGAAATTAAAAAATCGTCTAAAAAAATAATTCGCAATGTTTTTCAATGTAAAAAAGGTAGCATACGGTATAAATTTATTACTTTGGGATACCATACGGCATATTTTGTTAATAATGAACAAAAAGGTAAAACATGCTACACAGAGGAACAAGTGAACAGTATGCTGGAGTTTCATATTGACAACATATTTGGAGGAAAATTCCTCAACAAATTGTCGGCATTCCTATGGGAACGAACTGTGTACCTCTCCTTGCCGATCTCTTCTTATTCTCATATGAGTCGGAGTTCCTCTAGACACTTGTCAAAAACAAGAAGATCAAAGAAGCCAGATCATTCAACTTCACATTCAGATATTTTGATGATGTTTTTTCTATTAATAATCCAAACTTTCTTTTCCGATTGGGTTCTACTAAAGTGGTACCAAACACCTGGGCTAAAATTATATTGGCTCGTTTAATTTTCATAAAATTTTGACAAAATATTCACTTTGACCCTTTGACAAAAATGTAAAATTTAAAAAAAAACTTGAACCACACACTTTGTCGGAAAAATTTCATTGGGTATATAGCAGTTTGACAAACACTATTTTTGATCATTGAGAAGCTTAATATTTCCTTAAAAATAGAACGTGATTAAAAAGTTCAGCTGATTTTTACAGAGTTATCTTCCTGTAGTGTTATGTACCACCTTAATATATCCTGCAGAACTAGAAAATAAGGAAACAATAGACAAGGCTCCCTCTGCCTTATTTTTAGACTTATACCTCGAATTTGACATAAGTGTTCATTGCAGTACTAGAATCTATGACAAACGAGACGATCTTAATTATGAAGTTATCAATTTCCCCCGTCTTAGTAGGAATATACCAACTTCATCTGCATATTGGATATACATTACCAAACTCATTCGGTATTCAAGAGCTTGTAGCTGCTACTCAGGCTTTGTTAAACGTCACCAGTGTCTGAGCAGAAAGCTGACGAACCAGGATAATGTCAAAGAACGTCTCGTCCTTTTTCTAAAAAAAGTTCACCGGAAGATACCAAGACCTTGTTGATAGATATTCCGTTCAACTTCACAAATAATACACGATGGTCTTGAAGTATAGGTTCTAAGTACTAACGTTATTTTTCATCTAAATAACGTGTTATAGTGTTCTTTTATTTGTCTTTGTATATCATTACTTTGACTGTAAAGTCTATTTTTTGTAATATTTATTTGACCTGGCTCGGTACTTATACATCCTCCTTTGTGTTATTGTGCTATGGTAAAATTTTTGTATTCTTGTCTTTCGATTTTGATTATGTACTTTGTCTATATGCTTTTTTGTTTTTTTTTGTTGACATATTTGTTTTTTTTTATAGTGTTTAAGATAATAACACAATGTTAACTGATGTACCCCTATTATTGACATTTTTACCTATTATGTCTGTTTGTTTTGTTCACTCATTGTTGTCAATATAAAGGAATTTTATGCGACTGTCATACAAGTGAGAGGTTTAGCTAGCTATAAAACCAAGTTTAATCCACCATTCTCTACATAAGAAAATGCCTGTACCAATTCAGGAATATGACAGTTTTATATCCGTTTCGAATTTTCTTCAGCGTTCGGTATTTTTGACTTTTGACACCTTTTTGGAGTCTTGGATTGTGGAATAAATTGCAAAAATGTGTTATCAATCTGAAAAAAATGCACCTTCAATTTGACAAAACTAGAGGCTCTCAAGAGCCTGTGTCGCTCACCTGATTCTACTTTGGTTTTGGAAATCATGTTGAAATAGATTAAAATCATAACAGATACCCTAATAATGAGTGAGGCCAAATTTGGTTTAATATTGGCCCTGTAATTTAAAAAAAAAATCCTGGTGGACATCTTGAAAAGTAAATCAGCAACAAAGTAGCAACACTTCATCAGCACCTCATAAGAAACATTTATGCCATGTTTGGTTTCATTCCATTCAGTGCACCTCTAGAAGAAGCATTTGTATGTATTTCCAATAGGGTCTTATGTTAAAGGAAGTCCCCCGCTGGCGGCCATCGTGGATGAAGGATCAGCTTCAAAGTAACAACACTTAGTCAGCACCTCATAAGGAACATTTATGCCATGTTTGGTTTCAATCCATTAAGTGGTTCTCTAAAAGAAGACATTCGTATGTATTGTCCATAGGGTCCTTTGTTAAACACTGTCCCCAGCTGGTGAGCATCTTGGATTATGGATCGGCTTCAAAGTAACAACACTTGGTCAACCTTCATAAAGAACATTAATGCCATGTTTGGTTTCATTCCATTCAGTGGTTCTCTAAAAGAAGACATTCGTATGTATTTCCCATAGGGTTCTATGTTAAACTAAGTCCCCCGCTGGCGGCCATCTTGGATGATGGATCGGCTTCAAAGTAACAATACTTGGTCAGCACCTCATAAGGAACATTCATGCCATGTTTGGTTTCATTCCATTCAGTGCTTCTCTAAAAGAAGACATTTGTAAATACTTCCCATAGGGTTCTATGTTAAACTAAGTCCCCCGCTGGCGGCCATCTTGGATGATGGATCGGCTTCAAAGTAACAACACTTGGTCAGCACCTCAAAAGCAACATTCATGTCATGTTTGGTTTCATTCCATTCAGTGGTTCTCTAAAAGAAGACATTTGTATGTATTTCCCATAGGGTCCTATGTTAAACTAAGTCCCCCGCTGGCGGCCATCTTGGATGATGGATCAGCTTCAAAGTAACAACACGTGGTCAGCACCTCATAAGGAACATTCATGCCATGTTTGGTTACATTCCATTCAGTGGTTCTCTAAAAGAAGACATTTGTATGTATTTCCCATGGGTCCTATGTTAAACTAAGTCCCCCGCTGGCGGCCATCTTTGATGATGGATCGGCTTCAAAGTAACAACACTTGGTCAGTACCTCATAAGAAAAGTTTATGCCATGTTTGGTTTCATTCCATTTAGTGGTTCTCTAAAAGAAGACATTCGTATGTATTTCCCATAGGGTCCTATGTTAAACTAAGTCACCCGCTGGCGGCCATCTTGGATTATGGATCGGCTTCAAAGTAACAACACTTGGCCAGCACCTCATCAGCAACATTCATGCCATGTTTGGTTTCATTCCATTCAGTGCTTCTCTAAAAGAAGACATTTGTATGTATTTCCCATAGGGTCCTATGTTAAACTAAGTCCCCTGCTGGCGGCCATCTTGGATGATGGATCGGCTTCAAAGTAACAACACTTGGTCAGCACCTCATAAGGAACATTCATGCCATGTTTGGTTTCATTTCATTTAGTGGTTCTCTAGAAGAAGTTCAAAATGTAAAAAGTTAACGACGACGACGGACGACGGACGACGGACGCTAAGTGATGAGAAAAGCTCACTTGGCCCTTCGGGCCAGGTGAACTAAAAATACTGAAACTTAGAAACACCACTCATGCTATATGGTGAAACTAGGCGAAATCCTTTTTAGATTGTATAAAATGTTGTCTTGGAATAATGTATTGGTAAATGATCACAAGTTGTCAACAATTATGTACAAATTATTGTTTGAATTACATAAAACAAATCCTCAAAAGTTCGTATGGATTTCATACATAAAATCTATTTTGGACGAATGTGGATTAAGGTTTGTTTTGAGTTATCAGGTACATATGGATAAAAACCACACTAATGATCTGTAAGACAAAAACTGACCGAACAATTCATTCAACATTTGGTATCGCATATTCAAAATTCTGCAAGGGGAGAATTATGTTCTCTATTCAAACACAAAGTTTGAATTTGAAAAATATTAATGAATCTTGAGGACCATAAAAAGGGTATTTATTACTTAATTGAGATGTGCAAGTACTATAGAAACTGGAAGATGGACCGGGATACCTAAGGAGAATACATTTTGTTACCTTTACAAAAACGGAATTTGGAATGAATCTCACTATTTATCTCCATGTATATTTCCACCATTTTAACAACTTAGAAAAATAGGTACCTAGTTTCTACAGTACAAATTCAAGTGAGATAAAAATGAATATTATGTCATGTTCGACTATAAAAAAATTTGTCTTTGTTCCTGAAAAAAGATCTCGAAGTATTTTTTAGAAAAAAACATGTATCAGATTGTGTTTTTAAAAAACTTAAATATATTGTTGAAGCATGATATCATATGCACGATTTGTATGTATTTCTTTTGTATTTTGTCATTATTTGTGCATCTAATGTTAGTTTATTGTCCCCCTGTACACTCAATTTGCTAAAGATCAAATGAAGAATTTTGAACTTGACCCTGAACAGTTGGTGTCTACTCATATTATCAAATTAACACAGATGGTATGCTGGTTAAGTTAATTTAACCACCAGATTAACCACACTACATATATTTTATATATTCTGCTATACAAAATTGTTTGATAGAAAAGAAAAGCCTTTTTTTCCTTTTCATCTATATTGCTTTTTATCAAATCAAAATGTATTTTAAATGGAAACTTTTAGATTAAAATTAGATAAATTATATTTACTTTTTTTTTAATCTTAAAATTCTATAATAACTTTTGTTTTTATTTATTTTTTCATTAAGGAAAGTTTTATATGTTTGAATTATATTTTGTTGTTCTATTACTTTATGGGCACACAAAGCATCTAAAACAAATATAGCAATTACAGTTCAATTTCTCAAGTTGTCTACTTGATAATGCAAACTCGACCAGCTTGTTCTTTCCTCTCTTTTCTGCATTTCGCTGGAATGAAAGAAAAAGACTTTTACAGGAAAGTTTTTTTTTTAATAATTACATAACAATATCTAATTTCAATTCAAAAATTTTTAAATAAATTTTGCAACATCAAATCATTTTCAAATACCTTTTTGAAAGAATTAATTCAATTTTTATTTTCTTTTATAAGAATTTTTCAAAAGATTCAGGATTTTAAATACAAATAGTTTCTATAAGCTTCTGTGTTACATTTACATAAATAGTCATGCTTTTTGATGTCATCCACTATTCCATATATGTCTTAAATTGTTTGTGATTTTGGAATACGGTTAAACACACTTCGTTTTGTTACATGTTTACTATTTTGTGTTATTTCTATGGCATTATATGCTTGTATTTGATTCTACTCAGGTTTTCTGTTTTGCATCAAATATTTCATATACATTTCTTACTAAAATTTGGAATCTTTTGCTTAAGTTCTTACAAATATACCTCATGTATTGTGATGATAAAAAAACACTGTTTAAATTGTTTGTGTGTGTATCTGTGTGTTGACGTTAAAGGTCATTCTTGGATATTTTTTTTTTAATATAAATTAATACCTTAATTTCTGCAATTTTTCCTCCCTTCTTACTTTATAAATGTATATCCTAAAAAAAACAATGAGAACAATTAGAATGTGTCTTATTTTGTTGTATTCATAGATTGCTTTTTCATTTTGTATTTCCAACGTTTTACTATACTTTATTCAAAGCCCAATTGTAAAGGTTCGATTTTATAAATGCAAATAAAATTTCCACATGAAAGCTTAGTAATTAAAAGCTGTAAAGCTATATAAAAAAGAAGATGTGGTATGATTGCCAATGAGACAACTCTCCAAAAGAGACCAAATGACACAGAAATTAACAACTATAGGTCACCGTACGGCCTTCAACAATGAGCAAAGCCCATAACGCACAGTCAGCTATAAAAGGCCCCGAAATGACAATGTAAAACAATTCAAACGAGAAAACTAACGGCCTAATTTATGTACAAAAAAATTAACAAAAAACAAATATGTAACACATAAACAAACGACAACCACTGAATTACAGGCTGCTGACTTGGGACAAGCACATACATACAGAATGTGGCGGGGTTTAACATGTTAGCGGGATCCCAACCCTCCCCTAACCTGGGACAGTGGTGTAACAGTACAACATAAGAACGAACTATAAAAATCAGTTGAAAGAGGCTTAACTCATCAGATGGATAAAATACAAATAATACAAATACAAGTGGACGTGGCCGGGTAATTGTACATCCAGACAACAAAAAGACACTAAGAACAGATCTGAGAGTACTCGCAGTTACTGACAGCTAGTTCAAAGCCACTAACAACTATTAAAAAAATCATGCATCTAAGACTAACTTATCAATCCGTACACATCCAAAATCCAATGGATTTAGTGTAAAGACGTCATAAACAGTCAGAGAAAAACATGACCTTGTGCAATGCCAAGATACAGGTATCGACAGATTATAGATCCATGAATGTGTATATGTATATAACAATAATATTTAGTTTGCTTTTAATTTACTGATAACAAAATCAATATTAGTACCAATAAAAACAATATTTAATGATCTAATTACAGTGTAGAATTGGTAACCTTTTAGAATAGGTTTATTTAAAGGATCGATAAGACTACCAGGATCGTTTCTAATTTTCCGGGCACGGTAAACAATATTGCCGTAAAAATGAGGATGTGCAATATGCTTTATTGAGCATTGAAACAACTTAAGCTAATAGGCGTATGATATCCATATGGAGTACAATCCACGTGCCGGGGAACTAGACACGTAATTGTGATAGAAACGTGTACTCACATGAAGTGTTTTAGTACGTTTTAATGCTTTTTAAACATTTTTTCTTTGTAACATAGTAGTTGTTACCTTTTATAGTCCACTATACGGTATGGATTTCCTCATTATTGAAGGCGACTGCTTTGTTATCTACCGTATCGAGTGCATGTTGAGTAAAACAATATTTTCGAAAATGCATTTGAGAGATTTTTGTATACTTACCTGTATTTCTTCCATCCAAAATACGCAATAAAAACAATCACGATCAAGGCAATAACTAACCCAGCGACTACACCAGCTACAGATTGATTTCCTAGAAAGTAAATTGATTATGTTTTGACTTGGTGTTGCAACCCAAAGCTTAATTTGAATAATTAAATAATTTTTAAACAGACATTTTGCAGTCACAGTACTTGTATATTATGTAATTCATGCTTTATTGAGCATTGAAACAACTTAAGGTAATAGGCGTATGATATCCATATGGAGTACAATTCACGTGCCGTGGAACTAGACACGTAATTGTGATAGAAACGTGTACTCACATGAAGTTTTTCTGAAAAAAGTAAAATAACAAAAATACCAAACTCCTAGGAAAATTCAAAACGGAAAGTCCTTTAAGAACTGGCAAAATCAAAAGCTCAAACATATGGAAACCAACTGTCACATTCCATATTTGGAACAGGCATTTCCTTATATAGAAAATGGTGTATAAAACCTGGTTTTATAGCTAGTTAAACTTCTCACTTGTATGACAGACATAAAAGGTATACATGTCAAAAATTGATAGACATCATCTTTTGTCAAATGAATTTTCGATGGAAAGAAAATTATATATAAACTCAATAAAAAAACTTATTTGAAATATTAAACAAACACAACTTATCAATGTGTTACATATATGTATATAGTTACAGTATTTGGCCAATTTTCATGTTGTCATATACGAAAATCATATTAAAGGATCTATATATAATTACTTGTTTATTGTTTTTCGTTTAAATTGGTTACAATTTGTCAATGATGATTATATCATAGAACACTGATATGAACAAAAGGAAATTTGGAATATACTTCATTCAAATAGCAACCCAACAGCTGCACCTAGAGGTCAATAATTCATCTTCAGCATAAGCCAATTGTCTATACTTTATGTCAGCCCTTAATTGACCCCATTCGATAGAAAATAAGAATAAATTGAACAGGTACATCAAAGATCTGCAATCAACACCAAAATCCCCAAAAAGCAAAACTATATCCTTTAATGTTTCAATCAAGATATGACTAAATTCAGTCTAATGATTAAAGAAAATAAAACTGGAGCTTTTTCTGGATTTACGTTCACCAGGAAACCTCCAACTAAAACCTTTGAAAGCCAAGGGTGAATAAATATTTTAGTACTTGAGGAGCTATATGACTAATAAGGACCGGCATATATAGCCGATCTATCTATCGTCAACTTTGTACGAGGTTAAACTAGACATCTCAACAATAAGTGCTCCCCTTTTTCCTTGATCATTGGACTAACTAAAGATACTGAGCAACTAGCCAAAGAAAAAGATTGTTTTTTTTTATATTTCAGCTAACTCTACGAAAAAGACTATTGTTTAAACTTATACAAGAGTCTTATTACCGTTATCAAGAAACGATCTGTACGTTTTTCGAAATAATTGTACAAGCAAGCATATGTATATACTAAATAATATACAGACCGTATGAAATAGTTTTGAATGGGTCATTTGCTAATTATATATAACAAATTTAAAGATAGAATACCAGCTTTAAACATCAAAATATCATCTACTAGTTTATTTTTGTGTGGTTTTATAAAGCAAACTTATCTAAGCAAGACATTTCTACTAGTTTTATACAGCAAGAAACGTTTCATATGTTTGAAAAAAAAGATGCACAGATTTATGTAGACTTAACAGAAGATACGCTTTTTATCAAATTATGTGGAAAGATTTACCTGAGGACTCAGTCACTGGAGTATCTGTAACAGTGTCGTACACTAAAAAAAGCATTTGAAATTTAATTTCCATAAACAATTAAAACATTATTTTCCTTTTGACACAATTTAAGCCAACAAAGCTGTTTTAGTTAGAGTGCTATATTCATTTGATGATAAAGGTATATCACTAAATTTACATAAAATCTTCGCTAAATGAATATGTTAATACACATAATAATGATTGAATTAAAAATATTTGTCTTCATGCTATTATTTATCTTTTGGTCGTATGAATGTTGACGTGAGAGGGTATTTATGTATCTCGCATTCATGTTTTTGACATCGGGCGTTCCTGGTGCAGGTGGGTCATGACTTCTCCTTTTTGACTCTTGTTTTCTTCTTTATATCTAGTTGTGGTGTCTTTCTTGTTTTTAAGTCTGTTTGTCCATTTTCTTTTTTGTCATGGTGTTGTTCATTTTTCTTTGACGTATTATATTTGATTGTCCCTTTAATATTTTGTCTCTCTCTTTATTTCTTACATTCAAGAGTGAAATGAGGTGTTCTGGAACTGGAACCATGAAATGGACACATATAACTCATCGAACCTTTTAACAAACTCATTAGTAAAGGTTATTTTATAAATGTTGTAATAATATCTTTGAATATTGTTAACATTGGCACAAATATCAATTTTGTCATCAACAAATTAAAACATAACTAAATTTGTATTCTTTTCAAATGTTTTTTTTTTCGGATGTATAAATACACATCCACGTTCATTTTCTATATAGAGATTACATAAAATCATACACATTTATTATAAGGTGAAATCCTAACCATACTACTGCCAGTCGATACTTTAATTTTGGCATTGCACAAGTCATGTCATTAAAAGACTTAATCGCTGGGATGTGTTTTAGTTGATTTTAGTCTCTGATGCATGGGTTTTTATTATTAATTGTTTTGGCTTTTAACTAGCTTTCAGGAATTGCGAGTACTCTCAAATCCTACTTTCCTGTTAATTTGATCTGTTGACACAATTTGTAATGCATGTTTGTTATTCAATGTTTACTTATTTTGTGTCTCACCTTTGAGTATTTACCTTAAGTATTTAGTATCACGATAAATTTTTAATTCTGTTCTCGTACTATGAACAACAAATTATTTTTTTTTGTAAAATGATATTTCCGTACTCCATGTACTCCTTACTACAAAATTATTATATTTAGCTGTGTACGTTATTTTATTTTATATTTTGTCCAAGGTTATAGTTGTCTTTCTAATATTGTTTTACATCTTCTCCCCCTTTATTTTATTAATATTGTATTTTTATTCGGCATAGATCAAATTTATTCAAGTGCATGTTTACTTGTTTTTGTTAATATGTGTTTTTGATTGAGTTAAGCCATTTCAAATGATATTTCATAGTTTGTCTTTCTATATTGTAATGTTACACCTCTACTTTAAGTTAGGGTGAAGGTTTGCGCCTGTTAAAAAGTTTAAACCCGCATCATTTGTTTGCACCTGTCCTAAGTCAGGAACCTGTTGTTCAGTGGTTGTCGTTTGTTGATGTGGTTCATAAGTGTTTCTCGTTTCTAGTTTTTTTTATATAGATAAGACCGTTGGTTTTCCTGTCTAAATTATCAAATAAATGTGTCGTTATTCAACAGTTATGTAGAAGGTTATATAAAAAGAGAGATATGAAATAGTCTACACAAATGACAGTAACATTTAACGAACATTAATAATGATCTAGCCACAAAATCAATGTTGAAGTCAATTCTACTGTTTCAAGATTTCAAGATAGTTCCTTCTTTATTAGAAACTACTATAGATATCCAGTTTATACCACTTCCGAAATCAAGATATGTGAGACAAAATGTACTTTTAAATTATCAAAATGCCCATGGAAATGATGTTAAAAACTGGAAGATTTGTTTAACTGTAGATTAATAAATAACACATAACATCGTTAACACGAATACATGGAATCGTTTACCCCAATGAAAAAGTTGTCTCATCTGAAGTTAGGTTCAAAGAACCGTCCATAGTTTGCAATGAAAAGGTAAATCACTTTCTTCTTTTTTGATTAGTGTAAAACAATACCTGAGAAACGGGCCATAATTACTATTTTGGGTGATATGAAAAAGTATAATGATAATTTCTTGGAAATCTTTCAATGGTTACAATGAAAAGCGTTATAAAAAAGTTAATAAAACGCAACCAACAAAGAACATATTTATTTACAACTGAAGCCACCAATGAGCATGCAATAAGCTACAGTTAGGACCAGCAGATGATCATCATAACAAAACTAATTTGATGTGGTATTAGAACAATTTCTATGTACGTAACTACAATACCCTTTCCTTTTTCCCAAATGTGACCTACCGAATTAGACTTATTACAGGGTTTGTACTAACATGAGCAACACGACGGATGCCACATGTGGAGCAGGATCTGCTTACCCTTCTGGAGCACCTGAGATCACCTCTAGTTTTTGGTGGGGTTTGGGTCACTCAGTCTTTAGTTTTCTATGTTGTGTTTTGTGTACTGTTGTTTGTCTGTTGGTCTTTTTTTCTTTTTTTGCCATGGCGTTGTCAGTTTATTTTCGACTTATGACTTTGATTGTCCCTCTGGTATCTTTTATAATACATAGTACTAATATATAAATTTGATCTATGCCGAATAAAAATACAATATTAATAAAATAAAGGGGGAGAAGATGTAAAACAATATTAGAAAGACAACTATAACCTTGGACAAAATATAAAATAAAATAACGTACACAGCTAAATATAATAATTTTGTAGTAAGGAGTACATGGAGTACGGAAATATCATTTTACAAAAAAAAATAATTTGTTGTTCATAGTACGAGAACAGAATTAAAAATTTATCGTGATACTAAATACTTAAGGTAAATACTCAAAGGTGAGACACAAAATAAGTAAACATTGAATAACAAACATGCATTACAAATTGTGTCAACAGATCAAATTAACAGGAAAGTAGGATTTGAGAGTACTCGCAATTCCTGAAAGCTAGTTAAAAGCCAAAACAATTAATAATAAAAACCCATGCATCAGAGACTAAAATCAACTAAAACACATCCCAGCGATTAAGTCTTTTAATGACATGACTTGTGCAATGCCAAAATTAAAGTATCGACTGGCAGTAGTATGGTTAGGATTTCACCTTATAATAAATGTGTATGATTTTATGTAATCTCTATATAGAAAATGAACGTGGATGTGTATTTATACATCCGAAAAAAAAAACATTTGAAAAGAATACAAATTTAGTTATGTTTTAATTTGTTGATGACAAAATTGATATTTGTGCCAATGTTAACAATATTCAAAGATATTATTACAACATTTATAAAATAACCTTTACTAATGAGTTTGTTAAAAGGTTCGATGATATACTATCCAGACAATTATAATTTCGATTGAGGGGTATTAAATCATTACAATGAACATTATTTAATTTAAATTTGTGAAATAATTGTAGACGAATGTCCTTTTGGTACATATTGGATCAACGGAGTTTGTGTTATGTGTCCTAAAGGAACTTACCAAGACGAAAGTGGACAAGTAAACTGTAAAATATGTCCTGATGGTTTAACGACACAGTACATCGCTTCTAAAAATGAAAGTGAATGCGCAGGTTAGTAGAAACAATGTCTTGAAAAAGAGAGATAAAAGATACCAGAGGGACAATCAAAGTCATAAGTCGAAAATAAACTGACAACGCCATGGCAAAAAAAGAAAAAAAGACCAACAGACAAACAACAGTACACAAAACACAACATAGAAAACTAAAGACTGAGTGACCCAAACCCCACCAAAAACTAGAGGTGATCTCAGGTGCTCCAGAAGGGTAAGCAGATCCTGCTCCACATGTGGCATCCGTCGTGTTGCTCATGTTAGTACAAACCCTGTAATAAGTCTAATTCGGTAGGTCACATTTGGGAAAAAGGAAAGGGTATTGTAGTTACGTACATAGAAATTGTTCTAATACCACATCAAATTAGTTTTGTTATGATGATCATCTGCTGGTCCTAACTGTAGCTTATTGCATGCTCATTGGTGGCTTCAGTTGTAAATAAATATGTTCTTTGTTGGTTGCGTTTTATTAATACAATATACAATAGTATATCAAATATATACCGAACAACAACATTAAAATATAGTACCACTAATATTTTTGAAAAAGTAAAAGTATTCTGTACATTTTTACACAATCTTCTTGTCAACACGGACATTTGCTTCTCTCAATTTATAGAATTTCAAAACTTCAAATTTTTCATTTTCATGAAACAAATCAGTTTTTAGAATATTCAGAAACTTAAAGTTAGTAAAGAGAAATGGACGAAAATTCAGTTGTATCTGTTTTGTCGCTGCCTTCCTTTCAAAACACTTTGTGAAAAATGCTGGATCTTAAACCTGATTTCAAACATTTTATTGGCAAACACATCCTTTAGTTTAAAAAAAATGGTTCTTCTATAGCATTAGATTAGTTATCAGGAAACCCTTGAATTAAAATTGATTATACAAAATTGCATACGAGTAGAAAACTTGGTCTGGAAAAACGTGGCATGAAAACTACCAGAACAACGTTATATGATTTACAGTTAAAAGATTTTTTTTTCATACCACAAATTAACTCTTGTTCGACTGTTCCTTCTGGACATGTAATGTCGATTTTTATTATAAGTGAAGACAAGTCAGCAGAATAAATAGTGCCTTTGTCTTCTATTATCAGGACATCCGTGGTATTCAGTTGATGAAGTGACATGGTTAAATCCGTGTATGCTGTAACAACTTCCAATAATCCCGAAGAAACTTAAAATAGGACATATTTATTCTATAAGCATGTAATTGACATTCAGTTAAGCAGTAATGTTTGTCATTATAATCCAGTCAAAACACGAATGCACAATCAAAAGCGAGCCTTCATTCACCTCTCAACAACAGTGCAAAGTTTGTTATAACTTGACTAGAACAGGTACATGACCTAGAATAAAATGCCTTTTATAAATCTGACGATCAGAAAATTTTCAAAACTGTACGTTATCTTTCTTTCATCTACTTTCAAACTTATGAGTTTGAAAGTCCCTTGGTATCTTTCGCCTCTCTTTTTCGCCAATTTCTACAATTATATGTACTTGAAGAAAATCTTTCCAAGCATACGTAAGTTATGAAACACGTGTACAACATATGAAAAATTTACTCAAATCTTGCAGTTGAAGTCCGATAAATATGCGAAGACAAACCAGGAATTTTATAATATAAAAGGTAGCTTCATATAATCAATTCCAACAAAAGTATATAGTTTTGAATGCAAAAGTTGTTTTTCCGTCAATAGGGAACCTGTTTAATAGCCGACCATACGGTATGGGTTTTCTCATTGTTGAAGGCCGTACGGTTGCCTATAATTGTTTACATCCACTTCATTTGAACCTTGGTGGATAGTTGTTTCATTGGCAATCATAACACAACTCCTTATTTCTATGATGAGTACTAAGTTTCAAGTAAATGCTAATTCAACTTCAATGTCAACTACCCTAAACTTTATTTTAATCTAAGATTTATAATTACTTTTACAAAACACTTTTACCATATGAATATGTAAATGATTCCGTAATGAGGATTCTGAGCAAAGGTATCATATTAAAGGGAGGTGTTGATATGCAATATCTTAGATGTCTGCTGTTTAACTTTTTTAAATGAAAGATGTGTTTTTACCTATATAATTGTATACATTTTCAACGATTTATTTCCCAGTGTAACACAGATGCATTGGTATTACATTGGTATCCGGTAACATGTTATCAATTGTGAATAAACGAGTCATACGCACACTAACAAAAAAAGAAGAAAAAAAAATAAACAAACCTATATTGTTAGAATAAAACTCTTCCAAAATTAATGGGTGTTCTGACAGTTCAGAATAAATTTGTATAACAATTTGAACAGATGTTACAGTTGATTGCTTTCGTCTACTTTCACATCCAAACGTAGACGTGCTGACCGTACATGTATTATTCTCCACACATTGAAGGTTCTTTAAATTCTGATTCAGTGTATCAGATACGCTTTCTTCATTACTACAATCCACCTCATTTGTATGTTACAGCTGCAGTTGCCCTCACTGCTCTAGGTGAATCTGAACCTTTCAAAATACAGAATGTTGTATTTGTGTTAGTGTTGTGTTAATTTGTGAAGTTAATTAAAAGCTTTGATTTGAAGAACGCTCTCTGGTACAAATCATATATTCTAGAAGAATAACGTATACATACAATCGTGCAACGATGAGACTTATAAGTCATGACGTGGGCAACAGCAAACAGTTACTTAAATATTGAATAGATTACAAATGATAGCTTCTTGATTCACAAGATACTGAAAATGAACCGATTAAATTATCGTGAAAATACTTTAAAAGAAAGCTTCTGTTTATTTCTAATATATTTAAAGCATAGTTTATATTTAAACATGCCGTGAATTATTGCGGAATTTTCTGATTTGATTTTATTAAACCAAAAAAAAAGAACCTTTGTTACTAATCTGATATCATCCTCTGTATAACGTTTACTTCGCTTTGCTCACTCAAATTAAAACTAATTACACGTTTTCGACATACATGGATATATAAAACACAACAAACACTATAAAAACTGCATTTAAAAAACGCATATTTTTAAATTCATTCCTGGTCAAATTCAAATCAATTTTCTAGTACATTTATGTTACCACCTTGCAAAACTACTAAGTACCTTTAAAATTGAATAGGTAGGCTGCAATTGTCAAATTGATAAATACAATTCAACAGGAAGGACAGAATTACCTACTCCCTTAAACATCAATAGACCAGATTGATGTTACCAGTATATAATGCATTGAATGATGTGAGCATCTGCCCATTGTTGAAAGTCATTTAAGAACATGCTAATGTTTTAATTTTTACTGCATATTTATTTTCTCTATTTCAATATGATATATTGCAATACAAGTGATATAGGATAATGACTCACGAGCACATGGAGGTGGAATAGCATTCCAAATATGTCCAGTTTGAGGTCCACATTCGTATTGATCAAGTGGTTGATAGTCTCTTACAAAGCTATACCCATCTTGACACGTGACCACACATGAAGTAGAATCAGATATGCTCGTACAGTTAAATCTGTTTTTGTAAGAGTATATAGTGGAATGACTTAGACAAACTAGAATAAAAGAAATGGGTACAATTTTAAGGGATAAGAAAAACAAACATCGGAAACTATATTCTTTGTGCGCTCGTCGGGAGTTAGGGGTCTGTTATTTAATGGTTTTCGTTGGTTAATATCTGTTACATTTGATTTTCGTAAATTGAATTTAATAAATTAGGCCTTTAGTTTTCTCGTTTGAATTTTTTCACATTTTCATATCGAGGCTTTTTATTCGGTATGAGTTTTTCTCATCGTTGAATTGCGTATGGTCAACTATAATTACTCTTACTGTTTAGGCAATTTTTGGTAATATCCATTTGACGTGGTTCGGTACTTATACATCCCGTCATTGTGTTATTGTGCTAAGGTAAATTTTTGTATTATTGTCTTTCGTTTTTGATATGTGCTTTGTCTATATGCCTTTTTTTTTTCTTTGTTGACATATTTGTTTGTTTTTATAGAGATTAAGATCATAACACAATGTTAACTGCTGTATCCCTATTTTTGCCTTCTTTATATATTATGTCTGTTTGTTTTGTTCACACATCGTTGTCAATATAAGGGAATTTTATGCGACTGTCATATAAGTGAGAGGTTTAGCTAGCTATATAACTAGGTTTAATCGACCATTTTCTACATAAGAAAATGCCTGTACCAAGTCAGGAATATAACAGTTGTTATCCATTCGTTTGATGTGTTTGAGCTTTTGATTTTGCCATTTGATTAGGGACTTTCCGTTTTGAATTTTCCTCGGAGTTCGGTATTTTTTTATATTTTACTTTATTCATCCACGTTAAATGAACTCTTTTTGACAGTTGTATCAATGATAATCATATCCCTTTATTTTCATATTGTTAATCCACACCGGATGCATATTATTAATCTCCCAATTGATACGATATTCCCGGGCTTGTATTTCCTATCATGATTTCCTTGATAGGGGATTGCTGCTCACAAGGAAGCTATTAAACCAAGAGTTTCAAATGGTGAAGTTGAAATCATCCCTTTGTAAATTTTACGGACGCCATCACGAGTTGGTTGACCGTTATGGAATAACCGTTTCACAGATGATATCGGATATGTTCCCTATGTCGTAACTACTATACCCTTCCCTTTTCACGAATGTGACCTACCGAATTAGACTACTTACCGGATTTGTAATAACATAAGCAACACGACGGGTGCCACATGTGGAGCAGGATCTGCTTACCCTTCCGGAGCACCTGAGATCACCCCAAGTTTTTGGTGGGGTTCGTGTTGCTTAGTCTTTAGTTTTCTACGTTGTGTTATCTGTACTATTATTTGTCTGTTTGTCTTTTTATTTTTAGCCATGGCGTTGTCAGTTTGTTTTCGATCTATGAGGAGTTTGACTGTCCCTCTGGTATCTTTCGTCCCTCTTTTATTAACATAGTATTAACTAGTCGAATTTAATAGAATGATTTCGATTATAATGTAGATTGATATTTTTTAAAGTAATGGATTGCTATACAAATGATTAATATATATATATGATTACCCGGACAAAGATCTGTATTACAAGCCTGCGATGACATGTTTGTTCCAGAGCATTCCAATCCATATAGCTCAGGTGCAGGATCATCGCAGTATCGAGCTCGGTACTGGGTTCCACCATTACAGGATTGTGAACATTCTGACCAACCTAACCACGAGCCCCATTTACCATGCACTGTAATATAAAAACTTTATTGATTCACTCTGTTCAAACGGACATAAACTATGCATTTGCTAACGCTTTTTAGGTATAATTGTAAGATTCAGTGGCTGTTATTTATTTACAATGTAATCATATATACTAGTAGCGTTTAATAAATGCAACATATTAATCAATTATGTCTCCACTAGACTGCAAGTGATGTTTTCATGCTGCCGTCAAATTTCAATAACCGCGTTGCTCGTTATTATCAGAACTATGTTATGAACGTGCGAGAAGTCGGCTCCGAACTTTACAGCTAGAAAAGAAAACAAACACATCAAAGTTACCAGTATTAATATTGTGTACGTCAGACGCGCGTTTCGTCTAAAAAAGACTCATCATTGACGCTCGAATAAAAAAGGTAAAAAAGCCAAATAAAATACGAAGTTGAGGAGCATTGAAGCCAAAAATTCTAAGAGGTTTTGCTAAACACAGCTATGGTAGAAATACAGCTATACTAGAAAATATTTAGTACTTCGAACAATTCAAAGTTTTGTAAATAGTTAATTTATAAATATGACAATATCAATGATAATTGATGTCAACACAGACGTGTGCTGTTCAGTGGGCTGGTGGAAACCTCCACCAACATATCTAAATAAACTCATCATAGATACCAGAATTTAGATTGTGTAAGCCATTGCAAAACGTATGTTTTCCTTTTGTTCTTATTTTCATATCATATGTTGTTGAGTTCTATTTTATATACGTAACCAACATCTTATTTTATACACTTCTTAAAAAAATTGACTTACCAATTTGTGTTTCACAAAACGTTCCTGTACAATTTGAATCACATACACAGGAATAATTGGCAAAATTGCTCACACAAGTTGCATTATTTTTACATCCATTTACTTTGCAAAAGTTTGGTGGAATGTCACAATTAGCACCACTATACCCACTTAGACATTGGCAACTGTAACCATTCTGTTCGCTTATACAGATGTTGTCATTGCCACAAGGACTTGTCTTACATTCATTATAAACTGAACAAAAATATGAAAAGGCTCTAGTAAAGTAAGAGAACGATACATGTTCATACTTGAAAATGTAAGCATATTTTGTGATTTAATACTAAGTCAATTGTAAGTACAAAAAAAAGTTTATTTGGTGTCTACCTACATTTCCAAATAAGACTGGTATATTTTCTATTCGCATATATATCTTTTGTGACTATACATAATATAAAAATAAGAAGATGTGGTATGATTGCCAATGAGATTACTTTCCAAATGAAACACAGTGACACAAAAAGTACTAGTAACAACTATAGATCACCGTACGGCCATCAACAATGTCTTATTTAAAATTATAAAAATGAGAAAATAAAATCGAAATATGATAGACAGCGACAAACGACAACAGTTACTACTGGGTTACAGGTTTCTGTTTTGGGATATGCACTATAACAATTGACGTATTTAAGATTCGTTATAATGTTCCAACATAACATTTCTGTATTTGCACCATGAAATTTACTCTCAGTACAGACACACCTGTGCAACAGGAAAAGTGAAATGCCTGGCAGCAAAAAGATATAAACTAAAATTACAAGTATTCTATTTTTAAGGTTATTAAAAACGTTTCTTGGTTTTTATGAGCCTTTCCTTGCCCCAGATCGAGTACGGGAAAAATAAACAAACCCCTGAGTTTAATTTGGTACAGTCGACTCGGTTACTCTTGAATCATTATTTGTTGTACAGATATGATATTTGTCTCTTTAGTGTACATATCAGTTAATATAATACAATTCAACTGTAAAGTGAAGGTGACATCTCAAATATTGTATCGTACTTAGTTGGATTTTACACCATGCTTTAAATCTTTTTCAAGTTGCACGGTTTTGTCAGAGATAACTTTGTGGTGTCAACAAATATGAAAAAAAAAATGAATGATGCATTTTTACTTGATTGTGTGTGATCAACTCTTCCCTAACAGAACCTAAGTAAAAGCTCCAATAATTAGTTTAAAATGGTTCAACGACTAAGTAATGAGCACAGTAGAAAATAACGAAAATACCAAATGCAACAAGTACCGACAGAAGAGTACTCGCTGGTACTCAAAACTTAATAAACCAAGCCTCTCAGAAAAAAACGGATTAAAGGTAAACATGTCAAATTGGTTTTTTTATTGTTCCATTATAAATTAGCACCTTCGTATTCTTGTTTAAATTGTTTTATGCCAGGGCCTTTTAAAGACTTCTTTACGGGGTTGGTTTTGATCATTGTTAAAGACTGAACGGTGGCCTTTAGTTGCTTACTTCAACTTTATTTGGACTCTGAAAATAGTTGTCTCTCTTTGGCAATCTAACAACATCTGCTTAATTTTATATTCAAGAATGTTTTAATTTAAAGGATTAGTAATTGTAAATGGATCGTATCTTAATTAACGAGCTCATAAACAAACATTACCATAAAACGAGGATGTTATATCCCATTTGTTATAAAATTTCTACAGACACAGCCAAACTTCCAAACGAAATCTTTTCAATTATTAAAGGATTAATTCAAGATTTAATGAATTTGTGGTAATTTTGACGGAATGATTAATCAGTTATGTATCACTACTAACATACGCAAAAAAAACAAGTAGGAATATATACACACCGTAAGAAGGACCAACGGAATATCCTCGTCCAAAAAGAAAAATTTACAAGTACTTATAAACCCTTGAATTTTGGGGTTTTGAGCGTTCCTGATTAAGGTAGATCAAGAAAAAAAGCTTTAGACGAACGAAATCTATAAACTTTCAACTAGTGTTATTTTTATCGACTTAAGGGAACAAAATGGTCACTTTTGGCTTAAACTTTAGTAAAGGATTTACCTAGTTTGAAGATAGTTCTATGTTCCACCTTTCCATGTTAATCTGTATATCCTTTTCTATTTTGTTTTGCTTTTTTTATTTTCAAGTTTGGATGTTATTCCGACATCTTGTATTCTATACTCTTGTAAAGTTTTAAGGAAAAGTAAAATTATTATAAAAACAAGGGCAATAGAAATAAAGATGGACAGAAAACAAAACAACAAAAACAAAATGTATGAAGAGATAATAACTATATATAGAAAAACTAAAGATTGAGAGCCACGAACCTACCAAAAAACTGTTAGCACAGAGATTTGACTCGTCTTTCTTACCTTTAATGGTGTTGAAGCCATCGATGACTAACAAATCACGACTATTTTCGAAGGTGAGACAAAAAACGGGAATGATGGTTCTTTTAAGGGTGAGCAGTTCTTTCTCCACAATTGACACCAGTTGAGTTGCTGATGAAGCCGTCTGTTCATAAGTCTATATCATATATTTTAAAATGAAACTAGTTCTATAAATGATAAAAACATGAAGTCAAAATTTGAAAAGTGAAAACAATTACCGTCACATTTTGAAAAGGAAAGCTCTGTGTCTATCGTATCTGCCGTAAAAACATCATTCATCGTAAGCAAAGCATTGCTCATATTTGACGAACAATTTTCTGCGAGTTGGTATATCAAAGTATCAGACAAAATACCAGTATCAGACAAAATACCATTGTCAAATACAAGCCCTGTAAAAGTCAATCCTGCAAATAAAAAAAAAACTAAAAGTGTATAATTTAACCATTCTTTTGTCTAAAAGATTATTATTCATACCACTAGAAAAAACCTCTTGGCCAATAATTTTACTTAGATTTCGTGAGGATGGAATCGCATAGTAACATTAACGGAACTAATGTTACTGCATCAGATGAGCATTTTGACTATAAATGTCGCTAGGGATACTTGAGACAAAATTATTTGATAATTCAAACTTCAAATTATCTGACTTTTTTTCTGTCTTACACTTTCAATACTAGTAGATCTAGTATTTCTCATGATAACAAAAACTTTGGGAGTTATCCGATACAATTTGAAGTTTGTTACTTCCTCACCTCACAGTTTGTAAGATTTTTAACAAGAATTATGTAATGGTTTTGTATTTCGAACTGTTCACCCAGTTTCCACACGTCCTATATTTAACTTGTTTAAAAAATACTTAATTCGAACAAAGAAAATTTATTACCAGCTGCCTTCGCCTTGATTTCTAAAACTGGATTTGTTGAAAATTCAGTTTCTGCGTCTGTAGAGGTATCAAATATATGTTCGGTTTTCTTCAGTCCATTAATAGTAAGTATTGATAATTGGATACAAAATAATGATTTACCACAATGATTAATAAACTTCTGAGATTACTTTAAGATTGGTTCTTTGTGTCTTTTGTCTTTTTTATTTGTGCTTCGTGTCGATCTGCATATTGTTTTTACAAAAATCAGGCCAATGTTTTTTTTTTCATTTGAATTGGTTTACATTTTTGTCAAATATCGGGGACGTTATAGCTTACAGTACAATATAGGTTTTCATTATTGTTGAGAGCCATATGGTGACCTATAGTTGCTTTCATCCACGTAATATTGTCTCTGGTGGATAGTTGTTTCACTGGCAATTATACCACATCTCATATTTATAATTTTTTTTATTGACAGTTTATATCCCATATTTAATCAAAGAATAAATCTGCACACTTTATCTTGTGTTCTTTTCTTCGAACTCTATGATTGATGATATTCTAGTAACACATTGAGTAACACATTGATTCTTTTTTATACAAAAGTGAAAGTATTTTTTTAAATACGCATCGAATACTAGTAATATTTCAGGTTGTTTGCGGAGATACCTCCTGTAAGCGTTCAACTGGCAACCTGAAAGTTGATGTGGAAATTTATTTTAGCATAGAAAACACAACTGTTTCGTCGATCAAATATGAAGAAGAAGTACTGACTGTAACAGAACTGATGTATGTAATTGAAAATGAGTTCTCTTCAGAGAACGTGACACTGGATAGCGGAAACCATACTACAGACTTTTTAGGAATTTCATCAAATGGACTGGAGATTAAATGTCCCGAAAATTCCATTCCTGTGTATTGTAATACTATAAGTTGTTGTAAGTATACTGATATTTTTATTAAACTACTAATAAAACAAATATGTAAATGACTTTTTTTACAAATAGTGATCTAGAAATTTTAAGGGGAAAAAGTAGTCTTGTACATGCAGTGCTCATATATGACCATGTAATCACTAAAATGTTTAACTCAAAGGTAAATTGAAAAAGGGGAAGTCAATAAAAACTGACAAAACAAAGCTCTATTGTATCAAGCAAGTACGATTGAACATACAAATTAGGTAAAGAAAAATGTATTTAATTAAGGCAACATTAGTTTACCGATGCTCAAATCTCATAAATCGTTTAAGATGATAGAAATCAATGTAACACACAGAAACCGAGGCGTCGTATAAACTCCAAATGATCGAAATCAGGTGTTTTACAGGGTAAGCGTCACCTGCTATGTATAAATCACCGCCATGCGATTCTATACTAAGTCATTCAACTTGTAGGCCCTTTAGTCTTATTTTCAATCTTCATATTTTGGTTGACCACTATGTAATATTTGTTTTGCAGTTGACGACCAAGGATCTTTTTATCTTTTCATGACATCAATAAATGCGACTTATCACCGGATTTTTACTCGTTATGAGCAACACGACGGATAACATTATTTAACCAGGAACTGCTCCATTTTTTATTATATACTCGCTTTTACCCCCGGTTTTGTTTGTGGTAATTGTGTTTCTCATATAGTTTTCCTTGTAGTATTATTTCGGACTGTTGTTTGTTTGTTCTAGTTTTCCTTTGGTCAATGTGTTGACCCTCTTTCTTCGACATCTGGTTATTCTTTGTCACCTCCTATCTCCCTGTCCCCGTGGTGCCTTTTTCCTTTTTTCCTATGATCAAGACCATAATTTTTTAATTTAGTTAATAGAATGTTTCCATAGCTCATCAAAAAATAATGAAAAAGAAATATCTTCAATTTGTCATTCAAGTGCCTTGTCCAGCTGGATCATATTATGATAGTGTAGTGAGTGAATGCATCAGGTGCAAAAGAGGATCCTATCAGCCAAATTCTGGACAAAGAAGTTGTATTTCATGTCCCAAAAGGCTGATAACAGCTATAGAAGGGGCTATTGAATCATCAGAATGTGAAGGTAATATCTCTCAAATACTTTCTTTAATTTTATCAAATCAACTTATGATGTCGACCGTTGGTTATATCTGTAAAACAGATAATTTTATGTAAATTTTAACTCTCAAAGTAATGCCAAATTTAAATATTAAAATGAAATTAAGATTTAATCTTATGAATAGTTATTTCTTTTATATGTTTATCGGTATCATTAAATCAACATTGTTTCTTCAATTTTTAACTAAAATAATTGTCTGCAAATAAATCAAAGTTTGATATTGAAAAATAAGAATAAGGAGATGATTACCAATGAGACAACTATCCACCAAAGTTCAAATAAAGTGGATGTAAGCAACTATATGCAACCGTACCGACTTCAACAATGAGAAAAACCCATACCGTATAGTCGTCTATAAAAGGCACCGACATGAAAAATATGAAACATTTCAATTGAGAAAAATAACGGCATAATTTATAACAAAACAATAAACGAAAAACAAATATGACTGACATGAACCAACGACAACCACTGAACTACAGGCTCCTGACTTGGGACAGGCACATAAAGAATGTGGCGGGGTTAAACATGTTTGTGAGCGCTCAACCCTCCCCTAACTTTGAACAGTGGTGTAACAGCACAACATAAGAACAAACTATAAAAATCAGTTGAAAAAGGCTTAACTCATCAGATCGATAAAACCCATTTCAGTAGAAATCTATAATGAAACCATGAAGTTTATGATAACAGTCACAGTTTGTATACTCGTATATTACCTTATAGCAAAACACTATCTAAATTGAATTAAATATGCAACCTATATTGTATTGAACTTTGCAGAAGCCTGTGTTCCTGGAACATGGTCTACAACTGGATTACCACCTTGCATTGAATGTGATATCGGATATTATGAAGAAACTTATGGATCTGTGAATTGTTCAAAATGTCCCGGTAACAAAATTACCTTAATGGAAAGTAGAAGTAATGTGTCAGAATGCTTTGGTAAGAAACTCTTATTAATAGTCGAATGATACATTTGAAACATAAAGGAACACGTTTATGATGCAGTTCATTAATTATAAATGACAACACCAATAATAAAAAGGTCAATTTTTTTTTACAGATTTCACGTGTAATTTATTTTCATTTAATTAATATTCTGTATATATCTTAATACTTTAAATGCGAAACACGATTGATAATTTTGGGACGTCCGAATCGCTTTTCTAGGTTACTTTCAGAAGGAATGCTCAAACCAAAACAATTATTTGAAAGATAAGAATGTAAAGGTATTTGAATAAGTACCAAAAAGGACATACAAATAATCTATCGAAAATCTATTTTTCTTAATAATTTTCTTAGTAAATTCCAAAAGAATAAACAGAGAGTATAACAAAAGTTATTTTACAGGAAATATCAGAACTAATGAGCTGATGATTCTTTCGGGAATATTATCGACTAAGCGTTTTTTGTAGATGAGTTTATCTAAGTTTAATTCTTATATTAACCAATAGAAACATTTTAACCCCAACAACGAATTATAAGATGAAAATTCTTTTTTTTTTTTTGTAGATTTTGACATAGGGTTTCCTAATATGTCAGACGTTAGTTACACGGACCTTGAGATTTCGACCGTAACTTTCCCTCTCTTGGTAACATTGCATGCAAAATGCGACACGAATTCCTCTGGAACTATCTTCCGCGTATCCTCAGACGTGGTTGTACTTTTAGAGATTGATGTAAAACAAGTAGTATTTTACAAGTAAATAAAATATTTCAAGAATTAAATAGACAAGCTGCTTAAAAGACACCCGACATTAGTTTATCACTATAGCAAATTTAGTCTCGTGTTTTTTATTTTTATTTCTCCAAACTATTTGGATGTTATCCTTAATTTTAAATATTCTGTTAATGTCGAACTCAGAACTATAATTATTTTTCAACGTTAAACAAAACATCTAAAGACTCTCAAACATTTTATTCTGAAGTGTTTTGATCTTTAAAATAAGCATATATTTCATTGCCCGAAAAAATATATGCTAACGTGAAATACTTGTCCAGTATCAACACATTTTCATAGAAATAACGGGAGAGAAAGAACTGTGTGTACTAGTCCAAAAAAGACCCCAAAACTATATATTTGCAAACCTATTGAAATAGTTATGAATTATTTTTTGTTTTCTAGAAAAGAGTTGTCTTTCTTCACATTACCGAATCTGAAGCCATAGTACAAGTTTCCCGGATTATTCAGATAAACAATTTCGCATTAATGTAAATAGGACGTTTTTATTCATTTCATTCATTTTCCTTTTAGTAAAACATTTCAGATGCCAGTAGATTTGTGTCAACGATGGGTGTATATTGAGATACATGTAAAACAGAATTTTACCATTATGTATATTGATAGGAAAGAAATATTCAAAACATTGATCAACTTTGATTTAAATGAGATCTCCGGCTTAAATGTTACCTTAGGAGGTAAATATGTTTTTTGCTGGAAAGTAAAGTTTTAATGTCTTTGATGTGTAAACAATCGTTAACAAATGACTGTACCAAAAACCACAGAAAATAAACATTACTAAAACATATAAAGATAAAAGTAATCATACAATTTCTCCTTATTTTATAGTAAATGAAAAGTCTTAATATTGTTCTTTGTGAGTACAGCTAAAAATTATGTTTAGGCTTCAAACGTTATGTTTTCAATCTATCGGTCAGGTTATATTTCATGTGTTGTAATAGATACCGTATAGAAATTCTGAATTTTTAGCATCTACACAAACATTAAACTTTCACCTCCTTTTATCCGTAGGGAATTTACTTATTAATGGTGTTGTTTTATTAGATATGAATGAAAATTACAAAAATCAATGTTTTCGTTTAACATAGTCAAATATTTTTTTTTTTCATCAGGGAGTGGTTTTAGTGGATATATTTCACAGTTTAACATAAGGTCGTTAACAGCTAACACAACAGAAGGTTACACGTTCCCCATGTGCAATAGTGAAGACATAGAAGATGGTTATGTCAACTGGGAAGACTTTCCATATAGTAATCTTGTCAATGCCTTCATTAATATTCCTGGCCAGTGTGATGGTTTGTATACTCTACAAATGATTTGTATATACCAACTAAGTATTGCGCATGTATTCTATATACAAATATAAGTATATAGGCATGTAAATGTGTTAAATATGAGGAAGCTGTAGATGGCATTTGCATTTATAGATTTAACCACAGTGGACATTTACAGGTACATGCGAACGAAAGTCCTAGCACCTTTTTACATCTTGAATCTATAAATGGTTACCAGTTTTCAACTGAATCATTGAGAATTGGAATAAAACTCAATTATGAATCAGACTATCTTCTCTATTTGCATCACAATGCCACACGAATATCATCCACAGTATAAAAAACATTCAGAATAATATGAAGTTTTCTGACTTGTCATATCTTATTGTTATTGACGATTATTGATATTGGACCAGATGGACAATACATTTCATTCCGTAAGGTCACATTATAAGTCGTGTGAATTAAGTAAAACTAAGATTCTGACTTCATTTATGCGCTTTAGACCCATTTTAATATTGATACATTCGAACACTATATTTATTTGCCACCCCTTATTGTGTTATTAAAGTTTATTGATACTTTCAAAAGTTTCCTCCATAACATTTTAAGTTGTACATAGAAGCAAAGTGAGCAGTACATGTTTCTTAAGTTTTCTTTTCATTTCTCGAACATGCTACACAGAAATATCTGTTCAGTTATTCACATCATATGAAGGGTCTCAGTTAGACAGCGTGTACGTTATTTCAAGAGATCTTGTATTTCAGTCGTTTGATTGAAATTTTAGAAATATACAAAAGGTATAATTGGATTGATTACAGATTGATAAATATTGCTGTAACTTTCAATAGCGTGTAAGATCACGTTAAAGAGTTTAAAACTCAACGACGTTGGCCTGTCTATGGTTAAGCTAAAATTTGTCAGTACTATCTTTAAAATATACCGTTTTAACAATGGTGCGTTACTTTTGAGTTTGGGTGTTCCTGGAAAGGCGCTTCAGACAAACGGAATAAATTAAGTGTTATTGTCATTTAAAAGATGGGTAGGGTGATTGTGTATATGTAAGTGTGGGTGATTCATTTATTAAACACAGTGATATACGATTAATTCATGTGTCATTTGATTATTTTTTTAATAACAGATGTAGATGATTGTATGAGTTATCCTTGTGGAAACGGAACTTGTACGGACAAACTAGGAGGCTACAGATGTACCTGTCTAGGGGGATTTACTGGACCAAACTGTAATGTTAATATCAATGATTGTATCGCTTGTGCATGTCAAAATAACGCTACATGTTTGGATGGTATTTCAGCCTACTCATGTCTGTGCATTAATGGATATAAGGGAGAGCTTTGTGAAATTGCTTTAGGTTGGTATAATTTGTTCTTATTTTTTATTGCATAATACCATTTTTAAGTAATTTGGGGAACATTGAACTTAAGGAAACTATTAATCATGATATGTCTGCAACATATCTCTTTGGCCGGGTTGTTGTCTCTTTGACATATTCCCCATTTCCATTCTCAATTTTATTTAATTCCTGGCTGAGTAAGAAACTTGAAACAACAAATGTAGTTAATTATTATAATGGTTTATCATAATTTTGTTATTTTTTGCAACGAGAAAAGAATAATTAGTTTTGTCTATTACATTATCGATTAAGCCTCTGTGTTTTCCATTTTGTTTGAAAAGGGGTCACCTGTTTCATTACATAATTTTTCAAAAGTTCGTTTAAACATGTTTTTCGATTTTGATGTTGTAAAATAGAGGCGAAAGATACCAAAGGGACATTAAAATAAAAAAAAATATAAGACAAAACGAAAAACGACGAAGATGCAAAAACACAGTCTACAAAAAACTTCGTAGGAAATTAAGGACTAAGCAACACGAACACTACAAAAAACTGAGGGGATCTGAGATGATACGGAAAGGTAAGCCGATCTGGATCCGAATGTTGCTGTCGTATTGCTCTTGATAAGTAATAAAGGTGATAAAAAAGTATCAACAAAAATACCGCCCTCAAAGATAAGTGTCATTCACAAATGATCCACTGATGTCACAATCGTGGAAAAGGGTACGAGATTGTGGGTAGAATAATTGGAACATACCCGTGGTTATCTATGACAGTAACAGTCAACCAAATCGTGATGGCGTTCGTAATACTTTCGAACGGATGACTTCAACTATTCTAGTTTGTTCAATAACTTCCTTGTAAGCAGCAACACTCTATCAGGGAAATCATGATAGGAATGCAAGCTCTGGAATATTGTATCAATTTGGATATACACTCCATATGCAGGCGCTGCTGGTATGTTGCTACATATGAAATCATCTTTGTTGTCCTTAAGTTTTTTGCCAACCGACCCTCATTGTAAATGTCTAGTTGCAAGAAAAGACATGAGACAAACTTCTGTTGTATCCTTTATTTCAAGTTCGATGTGATAGTTGCGACATCGTCTATATAGCGGACCATGAAGCTAAAGGGTAATGCTACCTTCGTTTGATTTTTCCAGAGAACCTCCTGTATGAAGTTTGCATCATGATTAGACGTTTGGTAGTGTACCATTAAAGAACATTAGTCGGGGATGTAGCTCATTGAAAAAATATCCAACGAAAAGACATTTTTGTTAAAAGTTAAAAATACAAGGGTAAAACGTTATCGAATAAAAAAAAGAAATTTCTCGTCCTTAAGGTTCACGAATTTTAATTCTATAACACTGTTTTGATATTTTCAAGTACACATGGCGGGTCAAACTAAAGTGTTAAGATATCACCAAAGCTATGAATATTACAACAGCCAAACGTGACTTAGATATGTGAAGCATTACTCACTCATATTTTTACTACTACACTTTTTCATGTATTTAGTTGATGGTGGATGGACTCATTGGGATAATTGGACAGAATGTTCTACAAGTTGTGGTTATGGGACAAGACAAAGAGGCAGATCTTGTTCTAATCCTCTACCTGATAATGGGGGCCAAAAATGTAATGGAACTGATACAGAAATTGGGGACTGTCTTTCAGAACCATGTCCAGATACAAAATGTACACGTTAAATTTCACAGTCATGCAAAAAGGAGCTGTGGAGTATGAATTAATGGAAATCCAACGATAAATAATCTGAAAGACATATATATATATCACCATACGGTGTTCAACACTATATGCTACAAATAATATGCCAAGCTCTAAATTAGTTAAGACAGGTGAAAATAAGAGTGACTATCAAGATCTACCTTCAAGACCAATTTCGCAATTGGTTAACACATAACGATATAATCAACACGAAAACAACCACTGAAGACGTCTTGGACCTTGACTGGGCATAATTATCCCTCCCCTATGTAATAGTATTTTTTTCTGTTAGAAAATAGGACAAATTGTCAATATTCAATTCAGAGCGTATAAACAATTTGTTAATAATAGTTCTTACTACAGTAATTTATTAAACATTTAATGACTATGATTTATTAGTAGAAATATTCTTATTCCATTTTATAGTCTTCTGCCTTAAATTTTTGGAGAATTCCTGTTGGTTGTATGAAATAACCATTATCATAAAGTTGATATAGAAATATATGACAGGTCCATAGTGCTTACATTGGAATTGTGTGTCGATCATTTCAGAATGCATAGAACTACGAATCACTCTTCCCTTTTCTGTAATGAATCAAACAACATGATTGTATGTTATCACAACTGTGATGACGGTTATTGGTTCGATCAGGATGTCAAGCCTGATTATTGGTGTGGAAATAAAACATTCCATTTGTGGGATTTTCAAACGGAGGAAAATCCTTATGCACGACTCCCATCTTGCTCAGGTAAGTAATGGACCACTTTTGATATCTTAAATTGTCTTTTCGGCTAAACTTATTACAAATATAGAATTTTCTCTATTTCAATGATTACTGGTTAATGATTAATGATTAACTCATGTTAATTAATAGAAAAAGACTTTTTAATAATGTGATTTTCAAAATCATTATTCTCTCCATCTATGAACGAATTTTAAAAAGAAAACATATGAGTTATTCAGTTATACAAACGTTCGTTTTTGAATATATTCTATGCTTTTTAGAAATTCAAGAGTCGTTGATGATTTATGTGAACTATACTTCTTTTTACGACCTATGGGAATGCGAAAGTGAAACAGAAATGACAATAGCATCAAAAATAAGCAATGGATATAAAGAACTATCATGGTATATCTCATCATCTTGCCTTATGACAAACTATGAGATTCATAATTGTAATGAAAACGAACAGCGTACCAGGCGTGATATCAGCAATGTGAACATTGGATTTACGGTAACCCTTACCTGCAATACCACAAAACGTAAGATTAAGATAGTTTATAATAATCCCTATGAAAGGCTGGGTGTATATAAACTTTTTAACAATTTTGGAAGCTTAAAATGAAAAGTGATTCAGATTTTTTCGTTCGTGTTTTGTTTTGTGGATCCATATTTTTCATTCACGTTATAACGCATAGCTGGTTTAGTATTGTTAAGCTGTATGTTACTATAATGTTAATTCAAATGTAAACGAATTTTCAAATAAGATAGCACTTAATAATTTTAACCGTTATTATATGTGGGTTCTATAATGTTCATGAAATTCAAATCTTTGTATGATCTTATCATGGACAAATGATTAAATAGAACAGAGGTTACTTTTTCCTATTATTACAAAAAACCAACCGGACATTTGAGTTTACTCCCGTTTTTCATTACGTTCGTATGTGTGAAGGACGATATTTGATAAATTAAGATAATGATACAAAATGTGTGTCCTGCCAGTGATTGATTCTGTCAGTGTAAAAGTGCAATATTGATTGCCAAAAAATAAGTCCATAGTTCGGAAAATACGAAAAATATATAAAAGCATTCCAACTTTTTTCTTCATATGTTTATTCTTGATAATGAAGATGTTTCTGTCCAAGTTTCGAAACATTGAATGAATATTTAACAAAATTAATAATGTCTTTAAAAAATTATACCAGACTGAACATTTTTGTAAATATTAACTTGGGAAAAATAGTCCATCTATCAATAAAATACTGTAAAATGAAACTAAAAAAATACTGAAGTTGTTTCCCCTTAATCATTAACATTTTCTGTCACAGTTTTTTAAAATAATTTGTCGGTTTTACATAATTACTGATGTTTTAAAAAGATTTAACGAAGCATTATATCTTAATGTTCACTGCCAGACAAAAATTAACAGCATTTGTCTGTAAAATACAAAAAAAAATAATATATATATTTTCGAAATTTTTTTCTGGATACTGACTTTGGACTGATAAGCTGCTGTCTTGTCTCAGTTTTATGAAATTCTATGAAGGTTTGACAAAGTAATTGATGTCTAAATATCTTTAACCCCAGGCTGAACCTAAATGTTGACAACGACGACGCAAACGCCAACGACGGAATTAGGATTGTTTTGTCAAGCTACAAAACATATACATCCAGGGGTTAATGTAGGATTTTCTGTGTCTCTTCTCATTATCAACATTCTCTCACAGTCAAAGATACAAAAAATAGGGGTGTAATCTGTAATTTTACCGATTGTCTCCGATTCCCGATTGCGATATTTTGACTGATTCTGGATTGGCATGGCTAGTTGATGATTATCCTGTCAACGCATCCGGTCTCGCTCCATTTGGAGTATATTCGAATCCCTCACCTTGATTTGTCTTCTAACTCGATTAACTAGTATGAGATTCAAACATCTGTCAACTATTCTTGTTTTAATGTAATTTAACTATCGTCTTCATACTTATTTATTAAAGATGACACACGGACCTGTTATTACGGGCTTGCAGATGCAGTGGTGGAAATGAGGTCTCTAGAAAACAATGGTCAATCATTTAACATTCTCATTGGGTAACGATACCTACCAAATAACACAGAATCAATCGACCTCAGACAGTTGGTTAAAGTGTCCATCTGGTTCTATTGCTAATGTGGCGTTTTGTGGTAATACTTAAATGATATACTAGAAAAATATGCGTATATTGCGTATAAAGAACAATCCAAAACCGTCTATTGTAAATTGAAGGAATTTCAAATTACAGAAAGTTAGCGTTCTATTGTAAACTGAAGGAATTGCAAGTTTAACAAAGTTGCAGTTAAGTATGCTTCATATCTTGATTTACATTTGGAAATTGATAATAGAACAAAACTTAACGACAAAAGAGATGATTTCGGCTTCCAATTGTGAATTTCCCATTTCTATTCCAGCAGCACCTGCATAAAAGGGTAATGTTTCTTCAAGTTGATACGATATTCCAGAGCTTGCGTTTCTTATATATATTTGAGCGTTCCCGGAGAAGCTAAATCCAGAGAAGCGCTTCGGACGCGCAAAATTTGTGAAGTTATATATTCATTTACTAGCATTAGGTTGATACCACTGCAGGAGGATTGTTAGTCGCCGATGGCATCATCAGCTCAGTAGTCAGTGCCTCACTACTGACATGATTTGTAATCTACTTTCTAAAATTCCCTGTTTGAAAAGAAAGAAATTATTATGGCAAGTTGACGTTAGATAAATTTTTCTATTCTTTTTAGGTCCATTTTGGTCATATATATCCTTACGTTATTACGTATTTATACATCCCTGGCTTCAAAATGTTTAGGCTCGAGTGTTTCTGGTTAAGTTACATCACGGAAAGGGCTATGGACGAGATTGATTAAGTGTTATTTTCAATTTCTTGATAGAAAGTTGCTGCTGTCCAGGTCGGTATTGAATAAGTATTTCTAGTGGTAAATTAGGAGATATCCAATTGTAAGCTTTACGAAAACCATCATGATTTTGGTTTATCGTTATGGAATATCGGTGTCACGTGTCACAGATGATCAGGGATAGTTATAATTAAAGCAGCTACAACCCCGTTCGCGGTTCCTCGGTTGAGATATAACCAAATGAGACTTATCATCGAATTTATACTTACCATAAACAGCGACGAGTGTCATATTTGAAGCAGGATCTATTTACCCATCTGGAGCATCTGAGATTAACCGTTTGTTTTTGGTAGTGTTTGTGTTGATCAGTCTTTAGTTTTCCGTGTAGTGTTTTGTAGCCTGCTCCAATGAGTCTTATACTTTTAGATACTAGATTTGTCGTTTTATCTATAAATATACCAATTGTCCAATTCCCGATTATGACATTTTGACCGCGTGTGGAAAAAGTAAAATAACAAAAATACCGAACTCCAAGGAAAATTCAAATCGTAAAATAAAAAGCTCAAACACATCGAACGTATGGAAAACAACTGTCATATTCCTGACTTGATACAGGCATTTCCTTATGTAGAAAATGGTGGATTAAACCTGGTTTTATAGCTAGCTAAACCTCTCACTTATAGGACAGTCGCATAAAATTTCATTATATTGATAACAAAGTGTGAACAAAACAAACAGACATAATAGGTAAAAATGTCAAAAATAGGGCACAGCAGTCAACATTGTGTTATAATGTTAATCACTGTGGCGGATCATGCATGAATAGCAAGAAACACTTACCCGTCGACGTATCCGATCTCGCTCTTTTGGAATTCTTCTATTCCATCATTTTTTTTATTGTTAGCTTTATTTGTCTTCTAAATAAATTTAAATATATGAGATTTGAACATCAGTAAACTATTGTTGCCCATATTTCCGTAATTCTTTGACCTTTAAATTTTTATTGTCCTTTTGATTGGCTTATAGAACAATTTGGAAAAAAACATTGAAAATCCATCCATTTATCATATAAGTACAGAAGCAAAGGCTACTGGGCGGATGATTTCCTTTTGGTACGGTTGGATTAGATTAATGTTTAAAACCTTCTATATGTGTCACTCTCGTAATATGTTATTGCATTCGAATTTTGTGACCGTTAATTCATATTTCTAATAAACAATTCATTTGTGATTTCTATTTCTTCAGTTCCTTGTAGTATTGGTCATTATCTATCAAATGAAGAATGTTTACCGTGTCAAGTCGGTACATACCAGCTATTGACGGGCCAGACATTTTGTTTTGTATGTCCAACTGGAACAACTACTGAAGGAATTAGCTCTGTTTCTATAGATGATTGTAACAGTGAGTCTTCATATTTCAATTAAACTAGAACACACCCGCAAAATCGAGGGCATTTACAGCTTGTAAAATGAATTTTTGTAAAAGATTTTATGTCTTGAGAATTTCAGAAAAGGTATCAAAAGCCCTCTCCCTTTTTTCCAAAGTCCGTTATTTGTTTCCTTTCTGTTAAATTCCATTATTTTCGCGTTTCTGGCCTCAGACCACTATTAGTCTTCCCCTTTGCTACAATGCATTTTTTGGTAAAAGTCAAATTAAATTAAAAAACTTGCACCGCTTCAAACATGAAATAAATGTAACTGCTTATAGATCATTATTATTCTAATAAAATATGCTTCTAGGACAATCCATCAGTGCTTTTTCTTTTGAGAGCCCTATTAACATGCCAATGGTAGGATTTGGATCTTGTATAAATTACTAAGGCTAATTTCTACCCTACTTTCATTTTGGCCAAATCACTACTTTCACTTTCAACAATAAAATTTTTTCCACATGTTTTACTTATTTCAATATATAAGCAACTGATATGACCCCTTAAATAGTAAACATTTCAAAGAAACAGTAGACAGAATACTTAAGAAGCAGGACCCCATATAATAATTGGGAACTATATTCCAAGACCACGAACAAAGGGAATTAATTGTGGTCTGAAGCCTTCTGTATACTATGAACATACGTATAAATAACTATTTTGCTATTAACTACAAATTCCAAGTTTCTTCTCCACGGCGATCACTGCTATAATTATATAGAGAGTCTCTATATATTATATTATTATAATCATAGTATACATGTAGATAAACGCAAAAATAATTGTCCTTTCTCCGAGTACTTATGAAAATCATGTGCAAGTTTAAAACCTGACGTCTTATCCATGACTAAAAGTCGGTCTGATGACGGAAACAATCATCGGGACGCTTTTTTTCCGTTTTTCTCCAAAAATAACTCAATCTGAATAATCATAAGAATGGATGACAAATGCGACTATGCATGGTACCTATAGGACACAGAGGCATGATGATTAATTTATTGTGGAAGGAAGAGAAGCGACACACAAAATGAGGTCTTCTCGTTTAATAGTATAAATACTTATTGTGTATATTTTTACAGTTATTGATATACCATTATACATGTAAATAACTTATAAACATGAAATATGTTATCAAAGCTTTGTTAGTTTTAGTTCTTGCAATTAATTTTCTAATGTTTATTTTTCAACTTCTTTTAGAATCAATTGCAACTGATGATACAGGCACTGGTACGTATTGTGAGTCATGTTTCAGTAAAGCAGGCTCTCTTTTCTCTGTTGTTTGTTTGTTAGGATTTTCTTGAACGCCATTTTTTTTTTTCATGTGGTAATAAAACACGTGCAACGTTTATCACCGACAAATTGATCGATTATTGATAAAATCGAATTACCATGTAAAAGCAACTATAATTCAAATATTTTTTAAATGTCAATGGTGGTTTTAGCTAAAAGGAGTTGCCTTGTATATCAGTCTTTTCTCCTTTTATTTATGACTGAGCTATGAGTTTTTAGTAGTTATAGATTCAAATCGTACTGAATACAATGGTGCGAATGACCACCAAAACATTATTATGACTTTTGTCCAATAAGATATTTATTTTTTTAACTTTTTTAGAGTTATTTTTTTTTTCTTTCACTTGAGATATTTTAAAGATCAACGATATAAACTCTGCATCGTTCCCACTGTTTATTATCCAAATTATACTTTAATTGTTTTCCTTTTTATTTTACAGTTTTTACAATATTAGGATTGGCTATCAGTATAGTGGTTTTATTTACCATTATCATGTTTATGGTAGTTTTAATTATCATTTGCAGACGGAAGTGGTATGTATTAATACAGTATGCGTGCGTAATAAGTCAATGCAATTTACTTACATATGACGTCAGGTCTGTTGGTGCCGCTTTATTTAGAAATGTTAAAAATCACATATGCTTCTCCATCTCAGTATTTTTTTAATTTATCACATGTTAGACATAAAGTATTTTCAGTAGATGAAATTGTTGTCTGTTGGGGTGTCACTAGTAGAGTTGTAACTGTTGACCTTTCCGGAACATTTGAGACCAACAATGTGTTTGGGTAGACAGTAATTGAAAAAGAAGATATTATTTCAAAGACAATCGTAATAAATTCAATATACTGACCTTTCGATCCAAAAGATTAGAAACCATGCTCCTATTTTCGTTTTTAGAATCCGAAACTAAAAGCTAAACAAGTGTTTTGGTAGAGATCGTGTAATTCAATCTCTAAGTTGTGTAGTGCTTTGTGGACAGTTGATTTGTGTTTTCTTTATTTTTTAGTAAAGGGGGAGGGTAGTACTATGCTTTCTACAAATTATGGTGTTGATTGCCTTCGGATTATCTTTTCCATCTTTTTTTATTATCAAATTAAATTATAATTGTATACACATTTGATGTGTGGTTGTTGATTGGGGGCTTCTGAACTCTATGGAGTTTCTTGACGAAGAAATTGATTATCTTTTGTAAATTAATGTCTTACAAACAAGATTTCTCATAACAGTATTGAAACTTCACTAAATGTGGATTGTTCTTACGTTGTTAGAATGCTCATATTTTTTGTTCAAACGACACGATTTCTCATCGAAAAGAATTTACAAAATATAAGCTTCGAAAAGAAAATAACTTTGCAAATGACAAGTTAGAAACGTGCAAAACTTTAAACTAACCTAAGGTTCCTTGAATAAGGAAAGTAATATCAGATGATGTAGTCTTTATTTTGCGTGCATGCAACACCTTTATATTTCTATGATTTGACCAAAAATAAGAATACTCATGTGTCGTTTTGATCAGAAATACTCACGTAACATATATTTTTAATACTAATTCTAACAATTCTTCAATTCTTCTTACAGTTTTAAAACACAGCTTAACGTGACAAACAATTCTGCTGAGACGGTTTCTTTAGAGAGAGTTCAAAGTTCGTTGTGAGTATGCTTATTATATTGAATGCCACTCATACTCTGAAGTTTCTGATAAACTTCATTCAGCGTATGTCAAAGAAAAAAGTATTAAAAAATTCTAAGGTAAATTCAAAAGGAGTTATTTCTTAAGAAAATGGTGGGTTAAACCTGTTTTTATAGCAAGCTAAACTTCCCATTTGTATTACAGTAAAGTGTATCTCCATAGATAAGAGAAAGTGCACATATTTTTCAGAAACCTCCGCAGATTTTAGGTAGGTAATTATGTTTCCATTGTCAAAAAAGGAATGTAATTTTGATTACAGTAAAAAAGGTAAAAAAAAAAAATAAATATTTTAAAAAATTAAAGAGAGTGATCAGACTTCTTCAAGAAAATATGGCACTTACTGCATTTACAGTAGAAAATATTTCCATGTTAAATATTAAACATTCCATTTAAATTTTAAAAACCGTTATAGCAGACGTCTTTTAAAGGCATTTTCATAGAGAAAGTCTTTTAATACCTGTTGCATGTATCTGTTTTTAAATAAATGTTGACTGCTGTAACGAAGAGTTATTATGAATAAGCTTCAATTAAATAACATTTCTTTCTGAAGTAGAAGTATCGTAGCATTTTAGTTGAACTCATAACATAAAACAATCATAAAAAAAAGTTATCATGATTTCAAGCTGCTTTGAACTTCCTTATCTCAGTTTACAGCTGTCGATTATTACCAAAAGAAGTGAAGGCTTGTGATCTGACCGAGAGCGAGGTAAAACTTTGAAAACCATATCAAAGCTGGTTAGTCACTGTGCTATGAGAAAAAAAACAAATGATGATGACTATCCATAGAACAATACAAGTCAGACCCAAGCCGACATAATCATTATTACATTCATAAATGTTAACGACAAACAAAATTTTAGACCAAAGCTAGGGAAATATGGACTCCGTAAAAGTTAAAATTATTCAGATATGTATGTAACGAACGCAATATTAACTATGTTTTAAAAAGTGTAGGAGATTCCAAGGGTAGTAATCAGAAATATGAAGGTGAAGTAGTACATGCAATACCGTGATAAAAGGTGAACAGCTAGCAGACAATCAACAGTCCTCATAACAATATAGTGAAAACTAAAGATTCAACAGTCTCTGCATAAACTCTTAATAAAAATGTTACTTTAACAGATAGTTTTGAAAAATATATAATTGTGGTTGTTTCAAAATAGCTTTTAATCTGTACGGTCTCAACCAGAATTCACGACTTTTTTGCCATTGCAGTTCTCGTGAGTTATGTTTGTTAATATATCTTTACACACATGATGCACTCGCTTTATCATTTCTACAGTTAATCAGAAAAAAGAAAATCAAGTGAGACTAGAAATAAATACTGTTGATTTTTTATTTCAGATCTTAGAACAGTGAATTTATTACAGATGAAAGTATGCTATATATAAGACCACCTGTGTACTCTATACCTCCACTTGATTATGGTCAATGTCATAATTCAAGACCTTGTAGCAGGCAAAACGAATGCTGAAATTAGTAGTTACGGAGACATAGTTGGATACTAGTAACTATATATTACGAACAGCTTTACATTTTCAAGTGAATAGCGCAAGATGTTATATTTATGAAAATATTTGTGCGATTTGCTGTTAAATTCATTTGCTTCGCATACTATTTGTATATATTGATGGAATCATTTCACTCATTTTCCCCTTGCCTCTGATAAAGAGTCATTATCGTAATTTGATGAAAGTTTAACGACAAAATTATTTTATGTCTACCTGTGCGAATTTCAAACGCGCGATTTTACACCAGAACTTAAAACCTTCCATCCTTTATGGGTGGATTTTACATAGATAAATAAACTCGTATAATAAAAAAGCATAATGAGGATGTTAAATTTGATGTATGCCTTTTTGTGCTTCTTTGTTACATTTGTTTGTTTTTATATAGATTAAGATGATAACACAATGTTGACTGCTGTACCCCTATTTTGACATTTTTACCTATTGTGTTTGTTTGTTTTGTTCACGCATCGTTGTCAATATAATGGAATTTGATGCGACTGTCATACAAGTGAGAGGTTTAGCTAGCTATAAAACCAGGTTCAATCCACCTTTTCCTACATAAGAAAATACCTGTACCAAGTCAGGAATATGACAGTTGTTATCCATTCGTTTGATGTGGTTGAGCTTTTGATTTTGCCATTTGATTCGGGACTTTCCTTTTTGAATTTTCCTCGGAGTTCAGTTTTTTTGTGATTTTACTTTTTAATAGACTTTGAATGTTTCAAATAAACTCATCATATATACCAGAATTACAATTTTGTACGCCAGACGCGCGTTTCGTCTACAAAGGACTCATCAGTGACGCTCGAATAAAAAAAGCATAACCTTTATATAGAGAAGATTGTTTCAAACTTTTTAAAAAAGATCCATATAAACGTTATGTTATTAAGACCCAAGCATAGCAGTTGAATACAATTATAAGAAAACATTGCATATTTTCGGATATTTTGCATTGAAAAACATCTGGAAACAAAGGAATTATACAAGTATTTACAGCGTATTTGAAAGACAACAGTTTTACTTTTTAAAAAAATCTTGTTTTGATTTGGAATGTCTTTTCTTTTCAACCTTAATAATATACTCAATCATTTGTGAAAATCCTTCAAAATTTCAATTTGAAAACATCTTTCATTTGGTTTATAGTTTACAAAACTAAGATATTTTGACGCAAAAACATTAAGTAGGCATATGAAACTGTGATTCTGTGAATTAAAGAAAATGTTTTACAAAATTGGTTTTAATTTTTGTTGGAAGGAGGGGTTAGGGATACACTTCCTCGAATTGATCAGAACTTTGAATTTTTATGGTTATATTTGTTGTTTTTGAGGGGATATGCATGAAAGGTAGTCAATTGTGAAAACTATTGCACAAAAATATTAACTTTTAACACAAGTTTAACGGTCTCACTCCTTTTGGACTTCATGCGATTCCCTCAATTTTTGTTTGTTACCTAAACTTTTATCTCCTTAATGTCGATCCGTCCCAAGTCGGTCGACCTGCGATGCATTGACTTGGGGCCGGATCGACTTGGGATCAGATCGGTTTGTGGCCGGAACGACCTGATACCATTTGATTTATGAGGTTTGAAAACCGGGTAAACTACCTTTGTCCAAATTTAAACATGTTTTTAGCGCTAAACCCATTGTACGACCCTTCATTGCAGTAGTTCATGAAATACTATATATGTGCCTGGACGAGTCAGGAACCTGTTATATTCAGTTATTACTATCTCTATTAAGACGACAGATAAACTTATCCGATTACATAATAATGTTTGCTTGCAAAACAGAAGCGGATGATACCAAAGGGATATTCAAACTCTTAAGTCGAAAACGAACTGACAACGCCATGGCAAAACACGAAAAAACGACCAAAAGGGAAAAACAACAGTCTACAAAACACAACATAGGAAAACTAAAGACTAAGCAACACGAATCTCATAAAAAATCGGGAGTTATCTTAGGAATGCAAGGGAGGCACTAGATTTCTATGATATCAACTCGATCGATAAACAATATTAAATCATTGAAGTCTAGACAAAAATATATATATGACTTCAAAATTGTAAGAAAAATATGCTCACCAAGACATAAGTGTCATGTTGTTTATTTATTTTTTAAGCGATAACATATTTCGGTATTCAGCTTTCAGCTTTTCCAAACATATATTCAATGCGTTCCGAAAAGTATATACATGTCAATCGTTGACTAATCATCAGGATTTTAATTTTACAAATATATATCTACGGACGGGGACACAGTAAAGCTTTGAGAAGTTGTGTGTTTTCTATACGTCGCGAGTACTCAGGTGTTCCTATGTCTTATACTCTTCATCGAGTACTTGCACCCATTGACTTCATAGATTGCTCATGTTAAGCTAAGGTCAGGATGATACTAAGTGCTACAAATCCTTCCCAAAGTCTAGTCATTTAACATTTGCTCTTGCTAACGTGAATGCATCTATTGCAGATCATCATTCGAGCAAGCTAATAGTGAATGTTGCTAATATGTCGGCTTTTGTCCGCTTACTTTTTCTAAGAAAATAAGAATCAATGGTTAAAGATCCATGATTTTTCAACGGGAAAAAATGCTCCATCGTGTGATAAGGCGTTAAACACAATTTGATACTTTGAATAATATTTGTGATTTCAACAAATGCTAGAATATGAATTCCGCATACAAAAGTTAATACAAACTGCAAATTTACAAAAACGAATGTGTTAGCTAGAAACAGGATTCCAAAAAACGAGAAAAATTGTACAATCTAAATTACATCTCAATTAGTTTGAGCCATGCATTTACATGAAAAATCATTAATTTCGAAAGTAAACTTTATACGAATCTTTACCTGAAATTTTGGTTTATATGGGGGTGTAATTTACGATTAAGTACATGTTTTACTGTCCGTGTGTTTTTGCCATAGACCGTAATTTGATATTAAGAAAACGTAAACATTGCATATTTTGAAAGAAGCATCTTTAATCATTCATATTGTTTTGATGAACTATGCCAGCATAGTAAAAGTATCTTATAATTGTGTGTAGATCGAGTACTATTTTGTACCTCTTCGTTGGTATGATGGTAGTCCATTTCACCTCGAGAACGGAGAGTACCTGGGTTCAATCCCCAGCTTAACCAAAGCCTTTAAAATAGCTTATATTTCTGTTCCAGGCTCGATGAATGCAGGCGTGCACCTGGCATCCACCTAAATCTGAAGAAAATTCTTTTAAGTGAATAAAACAAGTCGGAAATTTCTTAAGATTACGCCCCAATTTACCTCAAATCTTGGATTTGTGCCTTTGTCCTATAGAAAGTTAAAAATCTTATTAGTATAGTGCAAAGTATGATTATATAATCGGAGTTCGGTGTGGATTGATGTGTTCTGAGAATGCATGTAATATTGACCGCTGGGTGTAAAACATCCATTAATTAATCAAATTTATCATTTTGTTGAAATTGTACACTTTTTAAGAAATTGGATTAAAAGGAAATCAGGCAGTAGTCAGCTTTGTTCCGTATAAAGAAAAGAGAGAGACAAGACACCAAGGGGCATCCGCAACCAAGACATCTTGTCCAATAAAAACAGACACAACAACATAACACTACATAGAAAACTAAAAAATGAGCTACAAGGACCAATTTTCATGTATTACTAGTATTAAGCAGTATTACTTATTTCAACTAACATTATTTGTATACAGTAATTAAACTTAAGCTTTCACTTAAGATGAATTACTTTTCCTTGAGAGTTCAAATACGATAGATATAAAGCTTAAATTCAGGGTATATGTTCATGTATTTCCATGACAAATGTTCTTTTTTTCTGTCCGAGATAATTTTTACCCGCCTGTACTAAGTCAGGAATATGACAGTTGTTTTACGCTGGGTCCGTTGGTATATAACGTTTGATTTTGTTAGATTTTAAGGACTTCCACTTTTTGAATTTACTTGGGAGCTCGGTATTTTTAAGGGCATACGATACAGTTTTGATCCCACGGTGAATTTTTGACGAAAGTTTGCATACAAGCTAATTTTCACCTAGTCAATTCAAATATGTAATAAAAAATATACCTTCCTGTGCTACTTTTAGAGATAAATTGGGTCGAAATTTTAGACATTTACTTGAAATTTCGGTTTCTTGGACATTTCTATCCTTCAGAAAGACATACCGAACTTTTTTGTTTCAGAAGATAAACGCAAGCGGATTTTTGTAACATCATTCGGACTATCTTCTCTGCATAACAGTGCTTTGAATTTGTTTAATAATGCGTTGGAAATAATTCGTTTTTATCACATTTTCATGTCTATAGTAAAAACACGGCATTTTTTTCTGTATATTTATCTAATTTAAAAAAAATCCATCCGTGATTTTTTCATAAAAAATGGCACAAATAATCTTCATACATTATCAAGCCAAATGTCATTTTTCAAAAGAGGGGTCCATGAACTCGTTTTCAAGTTAAATCAGTCTGAATGATAAAAATCAGTAGAAAAATGCACCTTTTCCCGATATGTCACAGTTTGATGTCGTGAAAAATAACATTTTACGTTAGCGACGTCATTATCTCCCCTGTAACCGTATCGTATGCCCTAAATACACCTTTTTCCAGAAGCTGTTGTGGTATTATCGACAAAATTTTTACATGTATTTCATTTAGTGTTACCGTCATGTATCATCAGAAATATACCATATTTTTTATAAGTGTACTGAATGTCGATATAATGATAAACATTAAACAATTTATTAGTAATAAATAACATTAAATATGATACAATGCTATGTAATAATGAATATTAATATCAGTATGAACTGGCGCTACTTTGAAAGACTATTTTTTTGTATTTGATCATTGTAAAATAAAATTTTTGTATTTTATCAAAAATAAAATAAATTGGTGACCATCTTGAAAATTATAGTCATTAGAGTTGTTTCCCTTTTGTCACTGACATAATACTGTGCAGAAACTAAGCTAGATTCGACTAGCTTATTTTCTTTAAAGTCCAAATTGAGATCAGGCTGTAATGAATTTTCAAATATTTTAGGCAGGACGAAAGATGTTCGTTTCCTGTCAAAATTTGAATACTTTAATGTCTCCGTTTTCCTGTGTCACAATTAGATGTCCAAATGGACTGAGACATACGGCAATAGGACTAACCAGACCGTCATTAGATGTCATTACTACATATTTGTACTTCCCATCAATGCCTAACATATGAATGGCGTTTCCATTTTTGTCGGCGATAATAACGTTTCCGAGTCTGTCCGTACACATTCCTCTTGGATCTTTAATTACACTCTCATTCATCGATTCTTCGTACCTAGCTTTACCGTTTCTACCTAGACATATCAAATTGTTTCTTGACTGGCAATCGGAGACAACTATTTCCCCTTGATTATTTGTGCATATATAATATGGCCATGTAAACAACAGTCGTCCGTGTTGACGATAGTCATCGCGGTAGGTTTGTAAAATTGCGCCATCTACCGTCAAGACGTCAACACACTGTCCACCAGAAGAACAACAAGAGACCACAATACATGGATTTCCAGGAACGGAGAACGCATCACATGCAACTCCTCTGTATTGTTTTGCAGTTCGGATTCGCTTCCGTATTCTCATTACATCGTCTTTAAGTATTACAAATATAAGTGTTGAAAGTTCCGGAAGTGTGACTACTAACTCTGTACTTGAAATGTCTACTATTCCGTGAGGCCAACTTGGTACTGATGCCTCTCCCACGACACATCCACTTGGATCAAATGCTTTAATTTTCTTATTGTGAAAATCTGTAATTATCGGCGTACCGTCTTCAAGAACTGCAATATCGATTGGCCAGCATTTCTTTGAATCTCCATCTGTCTTTCCGTTAAAAGAAAATAACAGGGGTATACTCTTCGACTTTTGCATTTCAGGTTTAGCAGGTACCTGTGGACGTGACGTTGTATTCGATTGTGGTTCAGTATTGCAAGGTGATATTTGATTGGCATTTAATTTTACCGGATTCTGTTGTAACTGACCGTTTAAGCTGTCAGACGGTATGCTAGTGTTCAAACTTTCTATCTTCTTTGGTGACATGCCTTCGTCTCTGTTCCTTTCTTGGCTTTGTGTTTTAGGCATAGGGATTGTGTCGTCTATTCCATCTTCTATAGATTTAGAGCGACATGGTTGAGATTTAGATGTTACGGATGATGACAAAGCATGACCTTGTTCTTTCTTTTCTATATTTCGTCTGCCAGTAGGTGGAGAAAATGGAGTAACCGTAGCTTCAGGTGGTAATGGTGGTTTAATTGAAGTTCTCGATGTACGAGAAATATTTCCCTGAGGAGTAATTTCAGAGTCAGCTTTTCTTTCTGGCGATAAAACATTTCTTTGTGTTGACGTTCTTACTGAATCTCGTCTACTTTCGTTATTTAAATTTCGAACTGAAGATTTTATGCTTTCTCGGTTTGTTTTTTCTTCTCTTATATCAGCATTACTGTGCGATTTTGCTCTAGATACACTCGGATATCTCGGTGTTCTAGGTTGTCTCGGTAATGTGCCGGCACGGTTAGGTACATTCCTTTCATTCTGTTTCACATTGTCTTTATGAACACCTCGCATGGGAGTATTTCGGCGTCTAGGAGGAATAGGAGCGGCTTCTTGTGAACTTACCGATTCACTCGACGTTGAAGACATACTATTTGTCGGAGTTAAAGATTTACCTGATGGTTTTTCAACTCTAAATGTACCCGTCCTTTTAATGGTACCTGTACGATTTTGACTTTCGTCGTCATCGTAGCCATTCATACTCAAATAGTTTTCTTTGTTTAAATCTACAACATCAATAATCCTACCAAACGATTTCATTTCAAGAATTCGCTGTAAACATGGATCTATGGAAAATTTGTATCTCGTATTCAGTTTGTTTAGTTTTGCCTTTTGGATAGCAGACCTCATGTCATCAACTTGGACTTTGATAGTATCAAAGAGAGACAGTATTTCTGAATCACTTCCGAATTTCATCAAGTTTTGTAATAAGTTGTTTGTATTTTCAACGTTCTTTTTCATTTCGTCAACATCTTTCAGCCTAACATCGACTTCATTCATAGTTGATTTATGTTTCTCTTCTAATTCGCCGATCAGTTTGTTTTCTAGATTAAGTAACAGTTCATTTATTTTTGATCTAACGTCTGATAGTTCTGCAATTAAGTGTGTCTTGTTATCTGCAAGTTCCGACAACTCTTTGGAATGATCGGTTGCCCACTCTGACAGAATTTCTCGTTGTCGCTGTAAATCTTTGTAAACATGTTCAGTTTCTGGTTTTAATTTTTGAACAGCGTCTGAAACAGTTTCAACCATTTCACATCGTCGATGTTGAACTGCAACACAAGAAGAACAAATCGCAGCATGACAATCGACACAATAAAACTCGATTATTTTGTCCCTATGATAAGAACAAGGGATATCCTTTCTCGTGCTCAAAATCGACTGCATTGGATTGCTGCGCATGTCTTCCAAAGAGATCACCACGTGTTCACGACATGCTTTGATGACGTTATGAGCATTGATGCAAGATTGACAAAATGCAATTTTACATGTTTGGCACCAGTTTTCAGCTTTATTTCTACGAGATTGTCCTTCTATACTGCAAGATTCACAGTGTTTTTCTGTTGAGTGCATATCAAGTTTCTCCATTAAACTTTCGATAAAATGATTATCCGGGAAAACCTCTGCCCATTGCTGGACATTTCTGTTTCCAATGGGAATGTCGAGTTGTATTTCTGATCTACATACGGGACAAGAGAAGCATTTACTAGTCTCGTTACAATTTTCATCACCACTAATAACTACTTCCGGTTGACTATCGTCCAGCAGTTTGTTTAGAGATTTAGCCAGACAGTCTTTACAGAACGTGTGAAGACATGGTAACAGTTTAGGGCTCCTGTATCGCTGGATACAGATCGGACACACGAGAAATTCTTCTTTTATCTGTTTTATGGTTTCCATCTCAAATTAGTTATCCACTGAAATAACAGAAACAATTTTAATTATGTTATAAGAGTATGAATACGGTATACTAGTTTATGCATAATGATTATTATTTTCAATAAATAAAATGGTAACCCCGTCGATAATTATTACTGATTGACCTATACGTGCGTGAAAAAGGTAGGGACGTTGCGCACGATGTTGGTACCAATTCCATTTTGCTATAGATTAGCATAAAAATAAATACGTAGACTGGTCAGTTCGATAAAAATATAATGATTTCTGATTGAATTCATTCCATTAGACTTGAAATTAAAGAAAAAAAGGAACCGAAATTTAAAATACCAGGAATTATAACACTTAATTATCCCATTTTTACGCAAAAGCGTAATGTCCAACGTTTCATTTTGTGTGCAAAAGATCAGAGTTCCGTTTCTCTCCTACGGTATTTTTTCTCTGATCATCGTAAAACTTCACAATAATATTGCTATTGTTATAATTATTCGCGTGTTAAAGCAAAATCAATATCACTGAAACCGTAATCCGGAAAATGTTATTTTTGTAAATGGTCTGAAAAATGTCCAACCGTATGCAAAGTAAGTATATTTCGGGTTTGCGCATTTATACCGTGAAATTGAAAAAGCTGAGAGAAAAAATATTTATTATATTTTGAAAGTTTTTTTACTTTTCTCCTGGTTCATGATATTTTTTTGCCGGAAACCATGCGTATAGTTTCTATTGCAATGACTTCAAAAAGTATAGCCATCTTGTCCCAACGAAAAAAACGCTGTATTTTCTTTAAAATTGAGGTTTTAACGAGATGTCTATCAAATAAGCATAGTTAGATCATAAAAAAATAAAACTTGGCGGTAAAGGTTTTTCTGTTTTTCTTCTTAAACAATATAGTGTTTAATATTTTTTCGTTAGGCAACAAGGTTTTTAGATCGTTTCAAAAAGTATAGCCGTTTTGTCCCAACGTTCGCAAAACGTAATTGATGTCATGCTCTGGTTTTTAATTTTATATCGTAATTATTTGTTTCCAGTTTAATTCGAATGAAAATAAAAATACATGTATAAATTACAATACAACCAATGTATGAGAAAGGAATAGTTTAAGTTTAAATTCAAATGTTGACCAAATGAGATCGATATAAAAAAAATATCGGGATCTTAGGGTTTTTTTTTATAGCATATTTGTTTTATATAAGGAACATTGTCTATCTGCAAGTTTTAAATCGTCAAAAGTAACATGTATATTTTTTTGTTAATAAAATAAAATAGAGAAAACCCATTGCTGGCAATTATAACAAACAAAGGATATGCCACAAAAATACGGAAATGAGAAAATTTAAAACATGAGTCCCGAATGTTTAACTTCTTAAATATTTTGCGACAAAGAAAGCATCGGGAAATGATAAAATATAGAAAGGAAACGGAAACGGGAAGAAATGCAACAAAAGGAATAAATATGCAAAAAATAGGAGAATATGAATTCAAAATCAAATTTATATTAAAAATAAATCTGTGTAAATTTGGAAATTATTGTATCGGATTCATTAATGCGAACTGCTGCCGAAAGGAAAATTATCAATTATGGCCTGGAAAGACTGACAACTCCTGTAAATGAATTTCATTAAAAAAATATCTATACGACCACTTTGAGTTTTATTTGTAAATTGATGCATTTTTTCAGACAAACCGAAATCGGTTACCAAATTCACAACAGTAAATTGACATCATCAATAATATGCTTGAACGCCTGAAACTTTCTTTGAAATCGTCGAAATCGCCTTATTTTGAGGAACGTCGTGAAACGCTAAGTAGAACCAACATCGTGCGCAACGTCAGGGTATATTTCCCCTCAATATATAAACCACAATCACTTCAATTTTTAATAAAACAAAATGCATGTATTCACTTTCTAATATAGGTTTTAACAGCATTATGTCGTATTAAAATCATAAATTATAAAAGGTGGCTTACAACTACAAGTTGTTAGATTTTGTCTTTGATTATGAAAAACCTTCAAAATCAAAACAAAAATGATGTCAATAAAACTTATTCAGTTTGGTTTTGGATGACCGATGCTGCAAAATTTTACAATCATATACCATTTAAGTCAAATAATTTTTGGTAAAATTTATGATAAATCTTTAAACTACAAATATTTATTTAACTATAATAAAATTTTCATATTAAAATTTGTGTTATTTCTTTGTTTTTATCGTCTTAGTGAAACAAATATAGGGGATCTTTGCAAGTACAGTTAACAAACAGTGGAGAAACAAAATAACAGCTTGTAAGATTCAAAGAAACGGAAATTCTTTTACTAAAGTTTCAAAATAATCTAATAATAATTGGAAAAGTTGTGAGTGAAATAATTTGTAAGCTTGTGAAGACATACGGTTAATGGGGCCTCGGTGGTCGAGTGGTCTAAGTAGTCGAACTACTGTATCACTAGCCGGTCAACACTGAGGTTGTGAGTTCGAATCCCGCACGGGGCAGGTGCACTCGACTCCAATCTTAATTGACTAGAATTGTCAGTTTTCCTACCGAAGGTCGGTGGTTCACTCCGGCTTCCTCCACCAATAAAAACTGACCGTCACGAAATAGCACAATAGTGTTGAAAGTGGCGTTAAACACCAATCAATCAACATACGGTTAAAAATAAAAAATGAAAATGAATTTCACCCTTCAGTACTCCTGACTAGCCGATTAAAATGGCTGAATCTTTTATTTATTATAATTTTCCGTGATTCATCATTAAAATCCTTTTTTCCACTCTGCTTTTTCGACCGATTTATTGTGTCGTTAAAAAAGAATCTAAAGTTATGAATAGTTCATATATTAATATGAAATACAATATATACTGTGTTCTCTTTTATATTTTACAAAAGCTACATACTTTAATTAAGTCACTTCGTCGTATTTCAAAGCGCAGTGAACTTTGGATATGAAATAGAACAGTATTAAATGTAGTTCCGAGTAACTGATTTGTATCTAAATTTGTTTATACAATTTATGATCATCCTACACACCATGTAAGACACATTGTATGAAACATAAGAACTTTAAATATCTTGATAAATATCACAATTATTTCACAAAAAGATAACATTTAAAATATTGTGTCTACACATAGACAATACACGCAATGGTCATACCCCGAGTTACTTAAAATTAGAAAATAAAAATTTCAAAAAAAGATAATTTCATATCTAGTTCTTCCTGTTAATTATGTAATATGTTGTATCAACTATTCTTTTTGTAGTCTGTCTAGTCCAGTTAAATTAAAACCATTTTTGTATTCTTATCAAAGTAATATCGGATGTAGCAAATTCCAAAAATTGCCGATTGTAGTCTATCTAATATATTACATCTTTATGTTATTTGTAATGTAGGTAATTTTATTTTGATGATAGATCTTTGATCATCTCTGTTTAATTTATTCACAACTTTTCAAGACTCCGGTTTTAAAGACAACTGTCCGTATCGTTGAAGACCGCATGTTGAACTCTAGCTGTCTTTTGGTTTTTTTGTTTGTCTTTTTTTTCTTTTAGGTCGTTTGGGTAGCTGTCTCAGAGACTACCAAAGTTCTGCCATCAACAGCAAATTCTCCAAAATGAAAAAAAAAAAATTGAATTATAACAAAAGACACCACTGACATAGTTCCCTACTAATATAACAAAAGACACCACTGACATGGTTCCCGATTAATATAACAAAAGACACCACTGACATGGTTCCCTACTAATATAACAAAAGAGACCACTGACATGGTTCCCTACTAATATAACAAAAGACACCACTGACATGGTTCCAGACTAATATAACAAAAGACACCACTGACATGGTTCCCGAATAATATAATAAAAGACACCACTGACATGGTTCCCGACTAATATAACAAAAGATACCACTGACATGGTTCCCTACTAATATAACAAAAGACACCACTGACATGGTTCCCGACTAATATAACAAAAGATACCACTGACATGGTTCCCGACTAATATAACAAAAGACACCACTGACATGGTTCCCGACTAAGTGAGACACATCAATAAGTGGCTTGGCTCAACCAGTGGAATAACAAAATATGCATACAAGAATGTACAATAAAAATCTGTACAGGAAAATTACTTAACTCTATTATAACGTTATAATAGATTAAAAAAAATACAAGTAAAAGCAAAACTATTTCAAACAACACCGTATCAAAGAATGCTAGTAGTAATTGGAATCTTAACCTGATGAAATAAAATCAAGCAGTCCTAAACTAATATCAACGACTACTTTTAAAAGTGAGACGAGAGGAATTCATACAACAACGTCATCAGGACCGATTATCAGGGTTTTTGCATATTGATGAAATAAAAACTGCAAGTCACAATCATAAAGCTTTTTGACGAATGAGTTCAGCGAACGAGTTCAATATGCTTCTCATTGTGTTAAGCAGCTGATAATATGAATTGTTTTTAGACTGGTTTTTTTCATATAGCAACAATAGTGTTTCTTTGTTTTACACGAAAACCACAAGATAAAACAAAGAATAGAGGATCAGTCTATTATATGTGGGTAAACTCATCAAAGATATCAGGCTTATAATTTGGTATGCAAGACGCGCTTTGTTTTCTATATAAGATCATCAGTGGCGCTCAAATCACGACAATTGGAGGGCCACATAAACTACAAAGTTGAAGAGCATTAAAAACCGATATATACTACTGTCATTTTAAATATCTTATGAATAAGCAAGAACATATATCAAATAAGGGAATACAAGTTAAATATTGAAGAATATTTTCCAAAAAAACCCCAAAAAAGGAAGTAGAAAAGGAGGTCGATCCATGTCCCAAGTGCAGTGTAAAAACCTAGCATTGACCATCTTCCACAAATGTAGAAATTACAAAGGCCATTTGACATATCAACAATCAGTCTAATTTAAAATCAGAGCTATAGGTAAGTGTACAACTATACATGGTATGAAGTATTTCTTGACTTCTTATTTTTATTTCTATATAAACTGAATGCTATTTTACATTGACATTCTTCTTCAAATGTTAAAGTAACAAAGTCCCCATAAACACCATAAATCAATGTTGATGAAAGGGATATACACATTGTATCAAGTAATCATTTCTAGTTTTGTTCAATGTAAACTGCATAAACTTTTGTCAGAGATAAAAGTATTTTGTTACGGACTGAGAAGTGGATCGACGTAGACAACACACTATGATGTTGGAGATACATTTCCTTTCAGTAAGATTTTTCGAGTATGCTTTAAAAAAATAATTGATACTATTACGGATATATATATGACGATTAATAGACATGAGGACAATTTCACTTTTTCATGGAAGAAATTAGCCAAAAAACAAACCGTGTTCGATTGTTTTCACCTTGTTTTCAATATTATAAACACATTTATTTATTTTCCTACCTGAATTATAAATCAGATCCACATTTTACTTTCTGATTAATTATTTGAAATATCGAATATTAAAACTCTGCACATGTTTCATTTTCGTCCGAATATTCAGCTAAACAAATCACACCTTTATGCTATCAATATACTTCATAGGTAGATACCTCAGGCAAATTATTAAATCTGTTTGAGGAATTTATATATTTATTATAGTGTAGGATAATGTATGCGTATGGACTTTAAAAATTTGTCATCAGCGGCCTTTCGTCATAAACACGGAGTGTTTTCTTTCAATTTAAAGAATAGATCTAATAAAAATATTTAGTTTCAGTGCTTGTTTTTCTTCAACTTTTGGTCATAAGTTTTTCAAGTTCAAAATGATCATCATTCATTTCCCTTTTTAATTTTTAGATTGACTTTGATATGTTATTAATGCTATACTGTGTGACTTTCTTATCGTTTTTATAAAAGGTATAATACATTGTAGTAATAGTTGTCACTTTTTTACGATGATGATAATGTGTAAGGTCCAGTGGCAAGTATTACATTCACATGATGAGAAGATGTTAATGTGATATGAATATGGACCCTGCTTTGTACATGTACTAGACTGACACGCTGAGCTAGATTTTCATAAAGTAGCAATTCGAAAGACATGTCACCCAATCCGGACTCATTATTGGGACGCCTAGCCGACCAGTGTCTTTACTATTACTAATTATAATCCGTTTGTCAATCGGAGAAGCAGCAAATACCGAGTTAACGTCTTTGGTTTGAGCCAGTCTTGGATTAAACCCACAACTTCCAACACCCGAGGCGAGTACTAAGAGGCGAGGCGGTGTCGTATTTTTGAAGACCCAACCTCGATTATAGAAATAGTTCGCTATTGTTGGTTCGTTTCTGTCAAATTACTTCACTAACCCTTTATCAATCTTACTAAATAACTTTTCTTTTTTGTGTCATATATTTGTTTTAGTGTTAGGGATCGTTTTTAGAAATGAGTGTACGAAATGAACACCACAGTTAAACGAGACACCAAGCTTATATAGCTTGTGGCATGGAAACACATATTTCTTCATAAAAAGCTTGAAAATACATCCTATAGAAAGTAAAATCGCTACTGTTAATTATTATTGATTTTTTTTTTTTTTTTTTTTTTTGTAGAGAGGGTAACTTCTGAATGAAATCGAAGCGGCTGACCTTCAACAATGAAGAACTACAGATAATAATAATTGTAGCCTATACAAATGTAGTCACATATCAAGTACCACAGATGTCAATGACCCCTTTCTGCTATGGAAGGAAATGTGAGATACTGTATAGCTGCTTATGTCATTGAGCAAATGAGAACGAATGAAAAACCAAGAAAAAAATCAGTTTGGGTTAATACTCTACCTTAACCTGAAACATTTAAAAAAAAAATATGTATGTATTTAAAGAAAAGAGGTCTTGAGTGCCAATAAATATTTTATAAGCAGATTAATTCCGTTTAAAATGCCATGTTTTATCTTCAGTTTTGGTTTATATTTTATTCAATGCCAACAATATCTACTCTGATTACTTTTATCAACACTTTTAATAACCATGTACAAACGGTATTAACGAGAAACCTATATAAAGAATATCGGTCCAATTATAATTTCACACGTCCTAATTCAATTCATTTTGTTAATGCAATACACATTCACTTGTAATTTTCCTAAGATGGAATTATGATGTGATTCTTTAATTTATTTTTAATGTAAATAAACTCTGCCTTAGGTCGTATGACAATACTAATATTACAAACAGTTCATGTGTCTATTCATAGTTTAAGAATATATTTGTGTTGAAATTGAAATATCTAATATCTTACCTCTGGCATCTTTTTAGTTTATTACCTTATTTAACCCGATTTGAAGTTTAAAATTACTTTTTATACATGTATCTTTCTGTTATATCCTTCTATTTCTGGCCTCAGAATTTGCTAAAATTATCTGTATACAACTAATATGTGTTGTTGTTTTTACTATTATCATTAATATTACATGTGTATTATCATCATGCATATACTTATAATTGATGCATGCAACTGCACTGTGTCAACTTAAAATTCACTCGTAAAGTACAAGACGGATGACACAAGAAAAAGACTTATTTTTTTAATTCTGTGAATTTTCTATCTTTTAATGTGAAAATTGATTTCAACCCCAACAATTTGATTTCCAGATGTGGAGGAGAAAAGAGATATATTTCCGAGCAAAAATATGATGATAGAACAGATAACATGTATTAATTTCTAGTGTAAAGTTTTTTTAAATTTTATTTCAAACTTTTTTAGAGCAAGTAATCAGTTACAACATACCCATAATAGGGGGCTAGTGTAGCAACTGGACATATCAACAGTTTACATTAGGATCATACTAGGCAGACATGATGATGTTGCAAAAAAGCAAACTTTGCCCGTATCATGTACAGCAATATTCATTAAATTATTCATTAAATTTTCGCCAAAAATTAAGCATTTTTTAGCATGAATGGAACATAAATTTGCTATTTCAGCCTTCAATTTCTAATGAAATAATTAAGTATTGAACTAATATAATTTGATATGAAATTATGTTTTATTACTGTCAATAAACTTTACCCCAAATCTACTTTCATTTGAATTCCCTATTAATAGTACAATGAAGAAAGAAAAACTTGACTCACATATTGTCTGTCAAAAAGGAAAAGTAAAATTAAAGATCTGTATCTATGATAAGTCCGGAATTGAAAACGTGATTGGGAGCGATTTAGATCCTATCATATACCCAGTGTATGTAATAAATTTTTGGTGAAACGAACATTTGTAATCTGATATAAAGGTTTTTACGTCAGCTTAGTACTTAAAGGTCGCAAATTTGGCAATAACTTTAGAGGCTGATAGGTTTAAAAGGTTATATTCTAGTCATTCAGGTGCTTAATTTAAGCCAAAAGACAACGGATGCGAATAGTGGAGCAGCATCTGTTTACCCTTCCGGAGCACGAGATCACCTCAAATTCTTTTGATGTTGCTCAGTCTGTAGTTTTTTAAGTAGAGTTAGTGTCTTGTGAACTTGTTTATCTTTAAGTGGTCTTTCGTGTTTTGCATTGGCGTTGTCAGTTTCTCTAGACTGTTGAATTTTGCATGTCCCAATGGTATCATCCGCTTCTTTTTTAAAAACTTTTATTATGAATTCTTATGCTCTATTTGTGCATGTTGCTATATCAATACAATAGCGTGGACCACGAAACACGGCTATAATGAGCAAGAATATCAACTGCCAGCTACATTTTTCATTAAAATATATTGAAAGTTGTGGAAAAGTTAATTACAAAATGTTGACCATTAAAATCAATTAATTCATTAAGGCATGCTACTACTTTAAAGATGACAGACATTTTTTTTTTGACAAAGAACTCTTTGCACTTTTTCATCCAAAAGCATATTCCACCGCCAATGCATACTAATGTCGATTGAAAGAGCTATATATATATACATGCACTGTGTTACAACTCTAGATTCTACTGACGAGGAAAGGTAACAATAGGCCACCGAAATCTGAATTTTTTAGTTCAGTCTAGGTGGCCGAGTGGCCTAGAGCGCTGGACACAGTGCAGGCGGTGTTGTCACGATATCCCAATAGCATGAGTTCGAATCCCGACGAGGGAAGAACAAAAATTTGCTTCCGCAAAATTTGCAGATTTAACATTGTTGTGCTGATATTTAGAGTAATTACGAATATATATATTTATAATCTGAAAATTCAGAAATTATTGCGTGCATTTATTATTACGATTTTTGAAAAATTGACATAACTGTGAGATAAATTTTTGCGATTTCAGGAAAATCTGCATACAGATATATGTATCAGATATCAGAATGCGAATTCTTTTTATTGTGATATTTACCCAGTCGCATTTTTCGCATTAATGAAAACCTCGCAATAATTTCTGAATTTACAGTATATATATATATGAAATTGCTGTTAAGTCCTTGAAAAATCGCAATATTGATTACTTCCAAGCTCCCTTACATACATATCTCCAAGAATATATGCAATAATCGACGATCCCCTGGTTGATTTTGTTTTATATATTCTATGTGATATGGAATGTAACGTTGAAACACATAGTCTATATTGAATATATTTACTGCCATAATCCGCTCTAATTTCTTGATTTAAAATTAGAATTGCATTTCTTTCTTTATTAATCTTTATATAAATAAAATCAGGATTAAAATATATGTTTGTTACATAGACCGTACGAATAACAACGATTTATTAAGTCTGGAAAATAGAGTCCGTTTCGGACGAAAATTAAATCTTACCAGCAATAATGAATAAACGCGTAAAGTCGCATCACTGCACTTACAGTTTGTCTAATACTTTATACTAAACATCAAGCTGTTTGTCCCTTAGTAACCTTTAAATATTATATGCTTTATTAAAACTATTATATCATATGTGGATGTTGGTATACACGAAAGGAGACAGTAACCCAACAACGCCATAAACTAAATGACATGAATGGTTCACTCGAATATCGTAAAGTAACATGTAGATTTAACGAAAATTTGTGAATTATGTTTTTAAGATCTACAGTATGTTAGAGCGTTTATGTGAATTCCGTTCTCCTTTAACTCAAGAATTTCCTTATATGTATTAAATCACACAGCAATTACGGGAATAGGGAAATATTCTACAATCGTCTATAAAAAGTACACTTTCAGTTTACAAAAACATATCAAAAGCAACATTAAAACGTAGAAGTATGTAAAGGTTGATGATATAAAATAGTTATTGTCATTTTATTACTACAAATTGCTTCAGTGATAATTTTCTATCTTAAAAAGACAATCATCACGGTTGTAAAGTTAGATCTGCAGGGTAGGTAACAGTCACTGGGTTATACTCATTTGCATATTTAATGCAACTTTAAAGGTAACATTTAACATATAGATGTCATATCTATCAAAGTTAATTTACAGTCATTATTAAGAACAACGTCTGATCTTTTTTTATTTTATTTTTTGAAGTACATTAACTTTAAAAATTTGGTTTGTTTTCAAAGAGATCATAAAGAAACAATTTTACGAAACAGTCATCGAAAGTGTCATTTTAAATATTATTGCTTATGATTTCTCAAGCCAGGTCACTTATCTTTAATATTTGATTAACATTAAAATTAAGTTTGCTAATAATAACGTTCATGTTTACGAATAAGATTAAAGAATGTTCATCTCATCAAAAACTTTTATAGTGTTAATTTGAAATATTGCTAAACGAATATTTGATCTACGCCACATGTACAGAAACCTCTAAAATGAAAAATATAAGGTATATAGTGGTAAATAAACATCCAAAGGGAAGTTATCTTTTTTATGGCTGATTATCGCTGGCCTTTTCAATATCTAATACATCTTCCTGTTAGCCTTTTGAGATTAGTGCTCACTCGCATTATCAATGTATGAAAGGTACTTGTCGACGTGTCGACTGACTTATGGTTTTCCTAGAGGTTGCCAATTATAGGCGCTGTAGTGCAAACGTTTTGAACAACTCTTAGAAATGAATATCCCAACAAGAAGTTTCTACCAGATAAATGTATCATATATGTTTTTGTGCCGAATAGGCAATGTTAATATTACATTAAATAAAACTAGTGGTCTGATAATTTTAAAGATATTTAAAGGGCTGGACTATACATATATGCAAGATAAGCTGATTTGTATAGTGTGTTGTTATGTTGCGCTGTTAAACCATTGTCCCAGGTAAGAATGTAGGTTTATTTCCCATGTAAGGAGCTTGTAAATCACTGGCTGTCGTTGGTTGCTGTCTGTGATATATGTTTTGTCATTAATTCTTCTGTACATAAATCAGGTCGTTTTGGTCTTTGGTGGATATCTGTCTCATTGGCAATCATACCACATCTTCTTATATATTTATTGATTAATTATTTTTAGGATGCATGAAAACAGGTTTTCCAGTCGGTTTGGCTGTTCTGATTTGATCCTTTTGTTTTTGTTTTTTTGCTCTCAAAAGTTTCAAATTTGTACCTTTCCAAACCTTCTGTCTCTTGTGTACCTCATGACGATTATTCCAGTAACAAGTGTCATGCGTATGCAAATGACATCATGCTTCTAAACAGGCTTTTTTCAAAGGAAAACACACCCTCTATTTAAATAGTTGCTTCATTGTTAATGCTTGATATGCCGGGTTTTGAGGGTGTGCGATATGAACAAAAATTCAATATTCTTTTAAAAAAAAAATGCAAACTACTTACGAATGGAACTTGACGGTCAACAATACGTTTCATCCCCGATTTAACATAACTGGTAAGTTAGTAAGTAATTATTTATTATAGTGACATTTGTATCATTACATACATTTATACAAGTATATACATAGAAATTTGATATTGGTAAGTAAAATAACAAAGAGCTTTAACTGGAAAAACAAATATCCTGACACCTATCGATACTTCTTAAGTAATTTCATAATTACAGAAACGTAATATTTCAAATTGCCGAACTTCACAAAGAGTTAACATTTTATAATGCTTTTTCAATTAACCAAAATGTTTATATATTATATATCAAAGAATCGCAACACCTCACGAAGCTATAGTAAAACGATTTTTTTTTTATCCTACCATTATTTCTTCATTAAAAGAAGTAGTTTGCACGCAGGTGAAAAATATTTTCTCAGCACTGAATGGTTAGGACCACCAAGCAGTTTGTCCCTTCGTAACCTTTAAATATCATATGCCTTATTAAAACTATAATTACTTACAGAATGAAAAAATATTAAATTTAAATACGAAATATTATACATCCTTTCAAAAACTTTGAACTTAAATATTATACAATGAAGTATCTCTAAGTACTTATTTTAAGTGGTTTTAGGGATAATTAATATATTCATCAGGATTTAAGTGGCACTAATTAAGGGCTAAAACTTGAAGGAGTGACCAAATGTATTTACCAGTAATACTGTTATATATAGTTGAGAAGTTTAAATCTATTTAAGATAGGTTATTCGCAGATTTAGAGATAAATGATTGGTTTCATTCATATAAGCAAAAGTGCTTAAACTCTGATATGAAATTACGCAGTAAACATATGATTTTAGTTTGATCAAGAAGCTATGCTTC